GCAACTGGAAAATGTGCCTTGAATTTTTGCACTGCTCAGTCTAAATTAGTCAGTTCATTGGAAAGACTGAACAGCAACAATTCTTTCTTCCAACTAATGTTACAAGAAAGAAGTAGAGCAACAAATACAACTGAACTAACGAAGAAGGCACTCGAGTTTTCTCTGATGTGCTCTTTTCTTACTCATGTTAGTTCTTTAGCGGTTGTTAAACCTAACGCTACGGATTCTATTGATACTAAATCTACAAGCCAACAGCCAGAATCAGGTATTTCGTGATGCAGATTATTCGTGCGTATGGTATACATGATGGTAGAGTAAACAAAACAAAAAAATGGTGTAAGTTTATTTAGATAGGACTTTACTTTAATTTTTTGTTGCAGTAAAACTATTTTAGGGATTTTCTTTTTAAATAATGTCGCAATGATCTGTGAATCTGTCACAATGACAAATTATCTATGCTGACAAAATTAAAACATTTGTTTGCTTGATTAAAAAATTGCATCTAATAATTCTGATCTAATAAATGAAGTAGAAAAGTGGCAGTCCAGCTCAAACCAAATGTCAATCAGACTACTGACAGACAAAAAACTAAATCATCAAATCAGTTAATCCAACTTAAAGAAAAAATATCAAAGCCTACTTCACTATATAAAGATCGTGAATGGATAATAATAATAATTAATGCATTTTTGGATAGAGAGATCTTCCATTCATTCCTGTACTGGATTCTGGATTCTGGATTCTTAATTTATGGGGGCTGACCGTAGCCAGCCGGCACTTAGGCCTTGCCTTTGGGCCCATTGTACCTTCCCCAAGTCCATATCAGGGTGTTTTCCCGCTCCTCTACTCGTCAAGCCACCCAACTACTTGAATGTACTTGAGTAATGCAGAGGGTGGAAACTCCCTGATATTTGCCATACTAGGCCAGATGTCCCCTAGTATGGATTCCCTGTAGGAGGCTAGGGCTGGACACTCACGAAGAATGTGCTCAGCTGTTTCCTCTTCTTCATTGCATCCACGACAGATTGGGTCTGTTACCACCCCTATCGTATGTAGATGTTTGTTAAACTGGTAATGTCCCGTAAGGAATCCTACCAGTTTACGCAGTTTGTCCCTTGAAAGTGAGAGATGAAATTTCGTCAACTTACGGTCTGGTGTCGCCATACAAGCTCTACTATGCCGACAGCTGCTCAGCTTCACCCATATCTGCTCATGGCGTCTCTGGGTATATTGATTTACGAGTTCGTTCGAGAGGGCGACCGAAGGCGTGATTGCCGGTTCGGGTCCCCAGAAGGGCATGCGCGCGGCTCGCTTCGCCATCTCATCTGCCCTCTCGTTTCCTTCGTTGCCACTGTGTCCTTTGATCCAACAAAGTTCCACACTATTCCTCTGCGTTACATACTTTAGCGTTTGTCTGCACTCCCAAACCAGCCCGGATCGAACCATACAGCTGTCCAGGACTAGTAGTGCAGACTTGCTGTCAGTAAGTATGCGTATTGATTTGTTGCCGATTTCACGTTCAGCAATGATTCTAGCTCCCAGCATTATTCCCATCAGTTATGTTTGTAAGACAGACGTGTGGGTGCCGAGAGGTACACTGATTTGTGTGTAGTTGTTCGGAGTAGATGCCGGCTCCTGAATCACTATCTGTTTTGGCACCATCGACATAGATATCTATGTCGGCTCGTCCTTCTGAATTATCATTCATTGATATTCTATATGTCTTCTCATATATTAATTTTGTTCCCATTCGGTCACAACCCATCCTTAACAAGGGTATTCTGTTGAACGCCTCCGTTAAGATCCGAGTGTGCTTCGTTGTGCGGCCTTGCTTGTTCCATACTCCCAGAGAGTGAAGTCTTAGAGACGTCGTCATTGCCGCTTCCTCTATGTAAAGGTTAAGAGGTGCTAAGCAAAGAACAGTCTCCAGAGCCGCTGTGGGAGTGGTCCTCATTGCTCCTGTAACACTGAGACACGCCATTCTCTAAACGTGTTCAAGTTGCAGGGCTGTTGTTTTTTGTCTGGCTCTGGGCCACCAAACTAAAGCTCCATAGCACAGCATCGGTCTGACTATTGCCGTGTAGATCCAGAGGGCGATCTTGGGATTTAAACCCCACGACCTTCCCACCACCCTACGACATTGCCAAAGAGCCGAGCGTGTCTTTTCTACTTTATCATCTACATGCTTCTTCCAATTCAGTCGCCAGTCCAATACAACTCCCAGGTATTTGACTTCGTCCGAAAGTTGAAGCGTTGTGTTAAATATTTTTGGAATCTGTAGTGTACCAATTTTCCTTTTCCTGGTGAACAGGATTAGTTTCGTCTTTTCTCCATTAACGGAGAGGGTATGTCTGCTGCACCATTCCTCGACTATTTTTACTGCAGCTTGCATTATCTCACATAATGTATCTGCGTTTTTTCCTGTTAGCAGAATGACTAGATCGTCCGCGTATCCAATTGTGTGGTAGCCAAGATCATTGAGGCGTCGTATCACGCTGTCAACGACAGTATCCCACAGTACAGGAGAGAGAACTCCTCCCTGAGGACATCCCCTGTCTACAACAGCCTCGATCTCAGTGCCACCTACATTAATCATTACTTCCCTGTTCCTCAGCATACCGGCCACCCACCTACTTAGGGTGGGGTCCACGTCGTGCTCTCGTAGGGCTAGCTCTATGCTTTTGAAGGTCGTTTTATCAAACGCTCCTTCAATATCCAAAAACATTCCTGTACTGATTTCTCGAACTCACTCTTTAGCTGATGTTCGACATCGTCTTTTACTTTTTGATCCATCAAGACCACATTTTCTCCGACAAGATTTTACATAACCTTCAAATTTGTTTCTATGTCCTTCATTTGTTCTTTAATTCCTGTTATTTCATTTATGTTTGGTTCCACTTCCATTTGGAATTTTTCGCTTGGGCTGGTGATTATGTTATCTTTTTGCTTGTCTATTTTTTGTCCATTTCTTTATTGCTGGCGCCCATTGTTTCCATTCCTGCGCTCATTTCGTCTTTCATTTCTTTATTTCTTGCGTCCATCTGTGTAAGCATAGCCTCTGCTTTAGTTGTTCCTCCATTTTTGCGGCTTGAGCTCTTGTCGCAATAGGCATAGTTCTTGTCCGATCTGCCCGGAAGTCGTAAAACCAGTTATTGATCTCAAATCCATAGAGGTTTTTTTCTGAATTCATTGATGTAGTACAATCATACTTGCTTTCTGATTGAAAGGGCAAAATAAATTATTAAAATTATTAATTTTAATTAATATTAAACATTAAATAAATTAACCAGTAACAACTGAAACCAAAATTAAACTTCTGTATTCTACAAAAGATACTCAAAATGCTCTCCATTTACCTATTGGCAATCAAAAAGGACGTTGAATGAAATTTTGTAGTGAGTTAATGAACATAATAATAATTTCCGTAAATTTAATTCTATGATCAAAATCATCTTCGTTTAGCTCTTGCACCAAAAAGATTTTGACTGGGTGAAACTTTTCCATTTTCATTACTGTTTGAATCGGTTTTCTACTATATTATACAGTTTTGAAGCTAATTGAAAAAAAAAAAAAATTTGTAAACATTGGATACTTAATTGAAACGAATAGAATTATAAAAACAGAAAACATTCAAATACTTGAAACGGACTCTGATCAAAGACAAACTAGCTGGAATCTTACATATTAAGAAAGAAGAAATCATATTTTTAACTATTTAGTTTTTTTATCAAGCATATTATTAAAATTAAAGTAATGAACAAGTTTTAAATTCATCTGTAGTTAGATATTGGGAAAACATCTCGAAAAGGAATTGAATCACCATTTTCCTATACTGTACCTTTATTTCTCGAAAGAAGTCCGTTACATTATCTTTAAGTTCGTATGAATTATTATTTATAGAAAGGATGCATGCCGTAGATAAGTTCTGCGAACTATATCCTTCAGGTCTTTCAAAGCTTTGCACGCTGCTATCTTCCAAGATTTTCTTGGATTTTCTTTAAATATATCCATGTCCATTTGACACGAGGTGCGAATGACAATTGAAAAAAAATATATCAAGAATACTACGCACTTATTATAGTCATCTCTCCCTTTGTGCTACTCAACGGAAACTCGTAATGGAATCTGTACGACATACGAACTGCGAGATGTGCTTCTTTCACGCATTCCTAGGAGATATGAACAGTCATGCTCACATAAATCCCGTACAACCCCACTATTACGTTTTATCAAAATCAGTAGCATGGATACAAATTACCAGCTGTACGGGATTTATATAAACATGACTGTACATTCGTCTATGACGCATCTGACTTCTTTCTTAAAATAAAATGTAGTTTGACACTAAATAATATCCATGTGTTTTACTCTATATTTACAGATGCAATAAGTGAGACAGATGAGATGGAAGGTAAGCGCATCATGATAATTTAGACTAAACACACATTATCTTTTATCATGTATTTAAGCTTTTGAGCCACTTTTCGTGGAAGAAATCAGTGGCGATCCAATAAACTCTGGTATGCATTTTTAAGATTTGTACACGGATTCATCTAATTTATATATTTCTTGCAGCTCCTCAGTGGCTCACGGACCTCAGAAACAATAACCAAAATATCACAACTGCTGAAGGTAAGGCAGTCATTTTATTAAGAAAGTAATTTTTTCTGAACACGCAGAAGGCGAAGATCGATTATAACCGTTAATCATTTGTGTGCAATTAATTTTGATTTTAAGGAACTTTCATACTGCGTACAAGTGGTGGTGATTTGCCACATCCTGAATGTCCCAAAACACCATTTAATGGTACTGGTGTATGTATATTTGTATTCGATTGTCCACAAGTGTTTTCGTTCCTAGATGATCTTAATGCGTATTTGAAATATTTTTGCTCATTAAACGAGTAAGTATAAGACATTCGTAAAATACTGGAGTCTCTGTTTTTAAAATTCTAGATACGCAGGAATATGCTGCCCAAATGAGTCCTCTTGAAAATAAAATCCAAAACGGACAGTTGACCGGCTTTTGTTGCATGTATATAGAATGAAATAGCTTGTTAAGGTCGTAAACGTCTCTATGACAAAATCAAATTTTATTTTCAAATAAACTTTTCCTTTTGCATACAAGCTTACTTCATTGCGTCCTTGCCTTAATTAGCCTGTAGAAACAAAAGGCGTTCTTTCTTAGACTCCGTTTATCCCTGCCTTAGTTTCCTTGCTTGGATTCATTTAAATCTAAAAATTAAATAAGTAAGTAAGTTAAAATAGAACTACGGACTGTAAAACTACAGGTAAAGAAGCATGCTGTGGGTGTGTTTCAAGTGAGTTTTTCCTTACAAAAGTTTGTTATGACGTCATCAACATTTTAACATAGAGATATATCAGTTGGAATAGGTGCAGTGTAATAATAAGAATTTACAGTGCTGTATTTTTAAGATCGGGATAAGAATTCTAATAGACATATTTCCAGCAATCTTCACACTGTGTGAAAGTGGTAACGATTTGCTATATCCTGAATGTCCAACCCTTTAATATTACTGGTATTTCTAAGTTTCTAGTCCAGAAATGTTTCCGTTGCTTGATGGTGTGTATTTGAAATATTTTTGCTCGCTAAACGAGCAAGTATTTTAGTTTCGTAAAATACTGGAGTCTCTGATTTTAAAATTCTAGATATGCAGGAGTTTACTGCTACAAATCTTTCGAAAAATAATATGGATAGATGACCAGATTTTATTATATGTGTTTACAACGAAAAGGGAAGGATGAATACCCACTTAATAAATAGTTTCATTGTTATTACTTCACATGTAAAATTTTATTCGTGTCCTTTGACTCCTTTGCACACAATGTGTACACCAATTACGGAAAAAATTCAATATCTTACCATTTCAAAGACGTTGTTTCATAAATCCTTTGTGGATTTTTATTTTATGTGACACATAAACTGTAAATTTTCTTTTCTTTTACTTGACTATTCAGCGTTTTATGCCACCGTGCTCATTCTTTTGTTAAAAACAAGATAAAAGTAATTACGTCACAATGAGAGCAGCACTCAGTTTACTAAATATTATACATAGAAATAGATAATTAAATATTATTTTGTAAAGCTTGAACACTCCATGTTGTTACTTATCGTTGTTAATAACGTAGTATTAGTCGTTCAAATAAAAATATTAGGAAACTGTGACAGGCTGCAAAAAACAAAAAAATACCTTGCATATCTAGGTTAATTTATTGATATCTACATTTTGGGATTACCCTCAATATCGTTGATAATAACTGCATTTTTCTACGTTTACGAACTTCCCTAAATAAAATTTATAGGAAAACAAGTATTAATGCTTTCTGGAAATTCCTGAGGATTATATTAGGTACCGAACTTTTGCTTTTTGTGGTCATATACTTATTATATTAATTCAGGGTGTGAAATAGGATGCAACGTTCTTAGGTAAAATCAAGGGTGGCTCAGGAATTACTAAGTTTACGAAGCAAGGCACAAGATCCTCCATAATCTAAATATCGAAAAAATTACGTTGTCGTACTTGCGATTTTAGCAGTTCAGATGAAATTTTTTTCGCAAAAATAGAAATTATGAAAACATGAAATACCTTAAGTCAAAAAGCCGCTTTAAGCTTCTAAAGCGAAATGAAGCAATCACCATAGACCTACATATAAATCGAAAACAAAAAACTAGAACTAACCATGTTCTCGCCTATCAGTATTTTGCGAGTAGGAATCATAAACGAGGCCTATAACCATCCATTGGGGGGCTCCCAACAACCTGTCGTCGAAAGATTTTTGTGAGCCCTCCATTAGATACTTTTGAGCTCCCATCTTGAATAGTAATCTCATATAAAAACTCTTCTTTCAGACTATCATAGACGAGGCCTATAGCCATCCATTGGAAGGCTCCCAACAACCTGTCGTCGAAAGATTTTTGTGAGCCCTCCATTAGATACTTTTGAGCTCCCATCTTCAATAGTAATCTCATATAAAAACACTTCTTTCAGACTATTGTTAAATTTCGATGAACCGATATGTTTCACCTGCAAACAGGCGAACAAATGTCCCAGCAAACCAAATCTCTCCCACGAATCACCAATTCCTTCATATAATGAAGTTGTTAAGAACTTCCACTCTGCTGTTCACTAACCAAACTAGATTCCAAACTTCAATAACTGCACAAAGTAGTTCCAATGCCCTAAATTCTGATGCTCCGTCTCACGCAACATGGACAAAATACAAAATACAGTGGACAGCCCAATTGCATCAATAGGGAAATCATTACTATTGCGCCAATCTATTCCGTTACAGCAGCTCCTTGTACACATCCCGCATGAAATCGTTGCTATACAGATACACTATCCTCAACCGGTAGCTATCTGTAACTCCTACATTCCCCCTGACAAAGACATAACACACATAATTTGAAAATATATTATAACAGAGTTCTTCCCCAAAAATCCTGTTAGGCAACTTTAATAACCAACATCAAATTTGGGGATCTACAACCATGAGTAAAAAAGGAAACACAGTAGCCAAGGTCTGTGGATTCTGCCAACCTCATCGTACTTTTAAACTCCGAAGCTAAAACCCGCCTTGATTCCCCAACTGGACTTTCTTCAGCTATTGCTCTATCCTTATGCGATCTGTCTTTAGTGCATTTACTAGAGTGGACTGCTTTACCTGATTTTCACAATAGTGACCACTTTTCCATTTCCATACAGTATCAGTATAAGGTCGTGATTTGTCAAAACTACAAAATCCGACCTCGCTGGAAAATTTTCAATGCAAATTGGAAACTATATGTTGACTCTATTATCAGTAAAATCCCTGCTACCGAGTAACTCATTCTGCCTGAGGCTAGAACTAAAAAATGGTTGTCCATCGTACATGAGTCCGTTACTGTGGCTATGGGTAAAACATCTGATAATCTTAAATGCCACTCGGTACTCTGGTAGGATGAAGAATACAGAAAGGCCTTTTCGGACTGTAGAACGTTACACAACTTTGAGAAATCTCATACAGTTCAAACTTTATCGAGCAAAATCTAGCTGTTATCAAAAAGAATAAAAAAGGGTCCTGGCGTAAATATGTCTACTCTATCACGAGTAACTTTACATTTTCTGACAAACCGAACATTTATATTATTTATATATTTAAGCAAAACCCTTTCCGATGCCAACTTACCGTAGACTTTCCCTACTATTAGAAGAACTGAATTAATCCATACCTCCGCTCCTTTCCATGCACTTCCAGCAATTCCCCCTTGACTTTGGGGCAAAATCCACTACAACTTTGAACGGTTCCAACAGCATCACTTCAAAATTTGACATAGGTCTGGTAAGGTCCACACTATTGCGGACTTTCTGTCGAGAAGACAGTGTAGAAACTGCAAACACTGCGACAAGATGGAGCAGCGTGAAACATCGGTCCACTGTGAAGAATGGACTACGGTCCAACTTAAAAAAAAAGAAGTTGACGTGGATAGCGGATCGTTGCTCAAATGGAAAGAAGATGGTGTAGAACAGCCAGGTTGGTCGGAAATATCAGACGAGTCACCCTCTTTAAAAGCGTTATGGGTTCACTGGGACTTCCTGCGTGTCGAGAACGGGTTGCTTAAGCGAGCTTGGGAGAGTCCGGATACGAAATATACCACCATGCAGTTGATCTGAGGACAGAAATAAGTACATGATGGTCGTCACCGATTATTTCAGCAGATGACCCGAAGCTTATGCCATACCGAACCAAAAAACCACGACAGTTGCAGAAATGATGATTGGATCAGCAGGTTTGGGCTCCCAATGGAAATACAATCAGACCAAGGCAGAAACTTCGAGTCAAACCTATTCCAAAGGGTTACTGAAGTACTAGGAATACGAACGGACTACGCCGTTCTACCCACAGTCAGATGGAATGGTAGAACGGTTGAATCGTACCATGAAAGAACATCTTTCGAAGGTGGTGGCCGAACATTAGAAAGATTGGGATCGACACCCTCGACTGTTCCTACTGGATTATCGATCAGCTGTCCATGACACCGGCGCGCATAGTTTTCGGAAGAGAACATCGTCTACCTTGTGATATCTTCTTCGGCTCTCCGTGTGAAGAACCAAAAGGAACTCATACATTACGCCGATGACTTGAAGAAGAAGCTACTGAGCGTTCACAAAACGGTGCACCAAAATATCCGGATGGCAACTGACAGAATGAAAACACGCTACGACCTTAAGAATAACTCAGTACGATATAAGGCAGTCGTGACGAGAATCAACGATGTCATTCACAGAATTTGACGAGGGCCGAAGACCTCTTTATGAAAGACAAAAGTGACATGGTGGACGTTTCCAATCGGGACGATCAGAACTAAGAAAGGGGCAGTGATACGAAATAAACCCATTCACCGCCTCGGTACGACGCCTATGGGTTTTTTCAGCGGCTTTCTAGTATGTACGGCGATGATGGCGGCGGTGGCGGGGAAATCAGTTTAATGAAAGGTACACTTGATTTCATAAGATCTTGGAAATGTTTTGAATTGCATTAAGTATCAGTTCATGTGTGATTAGGGTTAAGTTCTGAAAATGATTATTAATAATATGACAACTAGTATCGCCGTTGCGAACTAGGATTAGAAAGCCAAATAAGGCATTTCGAAGATAGCAGTCTTAGTAACTGCCATTTTTCAAAAATTAAGATTTTGTACGTAGGTAATGTTTGAGCTGTTCTCTGCATCACGAAAAATAGACAACTTTTATTATGAACATTAATCACCCCTATATCAGAAAATATCAAAGCGTACTCGCCTATTTTACAATATCCATCAAGCGTAAGGGCGTATAAAGACTTCGCGTATAGCTAGAATCATCCAGCAGGTTTATTTCTTTATAATGTAATGTTATAATAAAATAAGTAGTGTTACATAATACATAAATTAGTGATATGGAGTGTGCGCCCTTATGGTTTAAGACCTTCGATATAATTAAAATTATGTATTATTCATTAAGACTTGACATCCAACGAATCAAGGATTTGTTTCATATTTCCTTGATGTTTTATGTCACCCAAATAAAAACAAATCAGTTTATATAGCATCTATTATTATCTATTATTAACCAAAATGTATCCTCATCTCCACTAACAATTTTCTGGAGCTAAAAAATATTTGTGTGCTTTTATAACTATGACTTAATTTCACAGTAAAATTTGACAGTTTATCCTAGAAACCAGAAAATTGATTATTCTCTACATCGTTTAAGGTTATCATGGTCTCGATAAGGCGCTACTCAGAATTCGTCTGTTGACTCTTTCCAAAATCAACAAAAACAAATTGAAATTTTTAAGATAACAACATTACTTTAACCAATCCATATCAACAATTAAAATTAATCAATTTTGGTGGTACGTAGGTACCCGCAAAAAATGAGGTTTTAGAACGACCACTATATGTACCGACGTATGACAAACCGAAAATTGGGCGAAATGTTGCTATCAAAGTTTTGGTGAAGCAGGGATAATAACATGTTTGTGTTAATAAAACTTGGATCCTGTGCCCTAACGCCCCCCCTTGGAGATGACTCTGAAGTACAACATTTCGGTGACTGTGAAGATAAACTACGACTTGCAGCATTATTTTTCGAATCCTATAAGTACACTAATAAACTGTTTTTGTGGATGGATACAAAATCATTTTAACAAACAACCCTCAAACATGTATCGTCCAGTGCTCTTCGTGATATTATTCTGTGGATCCATAGTTTGTGATGAAAGTAATAATTTTGTGGTAACGAGTACAGAGGCTACCAAAAAACAGTAAACTAATACGAGTATCTCAGATTTTTGTTAAGAAGAATTTAACGTTTTTAAGGTAGTATTAGTCGTTCAGATAAAAATATTAGGAAGCTGTGACAGACTGCAAACAACACAAAAAAATACCTTGCATAATTGGGTTAATGCTGCCTTTATTGATGTCTACATTTTGGAATTACCCACAATATCGTTGATAAAAATTGTATTTGTCTACGTTTACGGACTTCCCTAAATCAAATTTATGGGAAAACAACAACCAATACTCTTTGGAAATTCCTGAAGATTATAGGCACCGAACTTTTGCTTTTCATGTTTTTTAAATTTGCTTGAAATATCGAATAAGGAAAATTTGTGGTCATGCATTATATTAATTCTGAGAATGAAATAGGATACAACGTTCTTAGGTAAAATCAGGGGTGGCTCAGGTGTTAAGAAGTTTATGAGGCAAGGCACAAGGTGCTCCAATATCTAAATATTGAAAAATTAAATTGTCGTGTTTGCGTTTTTATCAGTTGAAGTTTTTTTACCAAAAAAATAGTAGTACATTCCAATATTCACTTACTTTTTATGACAAGCCCTGAGGGCTGAGTCGCTCGTCACCGACAATATCAAATATATTTAAGGCAGAAAACCAACATGAGAAATTTAATATCAGTACGTAGGTACATGTTTAACTCCTATTGTTTATGTTTATAAATTGAAAGAATGCGACTATTAAGCACGTAACGAACTGCCTGATTTGAATGATTTTATCTCTTCAAAACTGAGGAGGCGACAAAATTTTTTAATTAACGTTCTGAATATTATTCTGGACAAGTAGATGTTACCTACGATAATCCTTATTTGTTTATTATTAAATATAGACGTAGGCAACAACATTGTATTCCCAAATTTTCGAGAAAATAGGGTAAATGATTCTTGATTTGATTTGAACAAAAAAATATTCCCCATGAGTCACACAAATCACCGTTCTTCGTGTTAGTAATTCAACATTTTTACGGCACCACCATTGACTTCACAATATCACAATTTTTTGCGAAAACCTTGGTATCTAGGATAAAAATCAAGGCGGATTCATAAACGACATTTCAGAAGTACATCATTTTATAAAATTTAAATGGCGTTTACAAAAAAAATCAACCTGTTGGTGAAGATCATTAACGAAATTTTGGTTGGTGTTTTACCAATAAAATGATACTCATAACATACATATAAAATAGGCCAACCATAGGTCCAGTAGTTTCGAATATCAACTGCTTAATAAAAATCAACACAGACAGACGACCATGTATATTAGGAATATCGTGTAGATAGTAAAACACTAAACAAAATTGGTCTAATCATCTCCACTAACAATTTTTTGACGATTCCCTAAATTTTCTTTTGGTAAACGCTATTTAAATTTTATAAAATAACATACTCCTATATTTGAAGTTTTTCAGACCTCTCTGAAGTACAATATTTCTGTAACTGGGAAGATAAACTACGACCTGTAACTTGTTGTCCTACTACTATCAGTGTATATATTTATAAATTGTTTTACTGATGCAAATAAAATAAAAAATTCTGCATACGAGCATCACACGTTGAACAAATAACCATCAAACATGTACTGTCGAATGTTTTTCTTATTATTCTTCTGCCATTCCATAGTTTTTACTGAAAGTAAGAATTTTGTGGTAAGGAGTACAGATGCTATCAAAGAAGAGAAAACCAATGTCTCGAACGTAGGTATTGTGAAAAGTCATTTTTAATAATAATACTCAAAACTTACAGTTTACTCAGGTTAATCCTCAAATCTATTCTATGCAAATTTTCGCAAACGTCAGCAATCGGTTTGCAAGAACTCTGATAACAAGTAAAGTAAGAAATTCGGAAAGCACCGCCCACGAAACAACTTTTTCAGTGGTCTTACCCGACAATGCCTTCATTTCAGAGTTTGAAATGGAAATTGAGGGAAAAATCTACAAAGCATACGTTAAAGAAAAAGAAGAAGCCAAAAAAATCTATCAAGAGGTTTGTTTCGACTATTTAAATTTGCTTCAAGAGATTAACAGAATTTGACGTAGGCTGTATCCAGTGGGCAAAGTGCAGCTCACGTTGAACAAAGTACCAGAGACTCCAAAATCTTTACGGTCTCTGTAAACATAGAACCCGAAAGCAAAACAATTTTTAGACTTGCTTATGAGGAACTTCTTCAACGCCAGTTTGGTCGGTACGAACTTGTGATCAACATCCACCCTGGACAACTTGTTGAGGATTTGGGTGTTGAAGTATTAAATACCTAAAATGCTTTCACGATATTATAACAATTTTTAAAGGTTCATATCAACGAAAGCAGACCACTGACGTATCAATCGGTTCCTTTTCTGCAAACTGGAAACGAAATAAGTAAAAACCAAGAAAAACTAAACGATTTTGTGGAGATAAATTCCATTGACAATAAGTCGATCTGTGTTAAATTCACTCCGGATATCGAGCATCAACTGGAGTTTGCGAAAAGTCTTGGTGGTACGAAAGAAAGTGGTTTGGCTGGACAATTTGTGGTGCAATATGACGTGGAAAGAGATCCGCAGGGAGGAGAGGTATATTTTGTCATTATTAAACCAGTTTCAAAATTGTTGTCTTCAAGGTTTTGGTCCGCGATGGGTACTTCGTTCATTTCTTTGCCCCATCAGAACTGCAGCCTCTACCAAAACATGTAGTGTTCGTTTTAGATCACAGTGGTAGTATGATTGGGCGAAAATTTGAGCAAGTGGTTGAAGCAATGAAAAATATCTTGTCGGACCTTATTTCTAAAGATTTGTTCGATATTGTGTGGTTCTCCGAAGGTGCTTCTGTTTGGAATGTCGCAACAAATACTTTTATGGACGCAAATATATCTAATTTACACTCAGATTATGGCCATTTGGAACCACATCTGAGAGTAAAACTAGTTTCCTGATGCTTCCTTGAAATTAATAATATAATTTTAGGAAACGAATTTGCCTGAGGGTGCAAGCGTGTCCGACGAAAATATAGACAAAGCTAAAAATGCCATAGAAAATTACGCCGACATGGGAGCAACTAATATCATCGGGGGTTTAGAAGTGGGTTTGTTTCTGATTAAGAGAACTCAAGAGAAATTTCCTGATAAATATCAACCCATACTCATATTTTTGACCGACGGTCTACCGAACGTTGGAATTCACTCTGGTGATGAAATCATCACACTTGTAGGTATTCGTTTATGTTGTTGGGAAACATTGTAATACGCTATTTTAGGTATCAAAACTCAATGAAGGAACAAATCGGGCGCCAATTTTCTCCCTATCTTTTGGTGAAGATGCAGACAAAGATTTCTTGAGAAAATTATCTTCGCAAAATCTGGGTTTTTCTAGACACATTTACGAAGCAGCTGATGCTTCCTTACAACTACATAATTTTTACCGTACTATTTCTTTGCCTTTGTTGAGTGACGTGACTTTTAAATACGTGGACGAGGTATCAGATGTGACCGAAGTTCATTATCCCCTACTTTTCAATGGTAGTGAGCTGGTGGTAGCAGGACGAGCACGTGTGTATCTTTTGTATACTTTCCATGACTTTAATTGTGTGATTTTTAGCCGAAAATTTAGACGTTTTGCTTAATGTGACTGGAAGATGTACTGCTGGTCCTGTCAATTTCCATACAGTTCAGTCTAGATCTGTGAGTTCACTGGAAAGACTTTGGGCATATTTAACTGTCAAACAAATGTTGCAAGAAACAGATAGAGCAACAAATACTACTGAACTAACGAAGAAAGCCCTCGAGTTATCTTTAAAGTACTCTTTTGTCACTCCGGTCAGTTCTTTAGTGGTTGTCAAACCGAACGCTACGGATTCTGTTGACACTAAATCTGCAGGACCACAGCCAAGAGCAGGTACAGTACTAAAGAAGTTACTAAATTTCTAATTGATATTTTTGGCAATATTTCTTACTATAGATGAATCAACATATTCGTATTCAATACTTAGAAAATCACAATTTTCTACGACATTTCGTAAGTATTGCTCAAAATTCGGTTGGTGTTGTGTCAAAACAACGTACGAAACCAAATTTACAGACGGTTGTAGTTAGTACTACCACGTAAGTTAATTTGTGCTTTAATAGAAACATTTTTTCGATAAATCCGAAACGATATCGACACCTGGTGGCAAAAAGTCTACAGCAAAAAGGGACAACGACTGCGTCAAATTAAAGACAGTAATAGCACCTAAAGTTTGAAAGATATTCCAATTATAATTCGTTTTATTTTTGATTGCATGATACTAAACTTTGCACATTTTGTTACAGAACCATCAAGAATGCTATATGCGGTAAATCTCGGTAAGTCCTGTATTTAATTACCTTTTGACACGAACCTATTACTTTATTTTTTTTTACAGCTGCAACATATGATTCCGAAGGTAAGCACATCATGATTACTTGAAATATGCACTAATTTGATTAATCATGTTTTTAAGATTTTGTCGATTACGATGCAATTCCCTCCAGTACGTATTTTTAAGATATGTCTAAGAATTCATCTAACCTGTATAGTTAGTTCCAGCAGCAGCTCCTCAGTGGCTCTCCAACCTCAGGGACAATAATCAAAATATAACAACTGCTGAAGGTACGACCGTGCCTTTATTCCGAAAATAACTTAATTCATTTCTGAACATGCAGACGGACAAAGTCGAGTGTAACTGTTGAGCATTTAAATGTATAAATATTTTTTTTTAAGGAACCTTCACACTGCGTACAAGTGGTGGTGATTTGCCACATCCTGAATGCCCCAAAACACCCTTTAATGGTACTGGTGTTTGTATGTTTGTATTCGACTGTCCACAAGTGTTTTCGTTCCTAGATGATCTTAATGTATATTTGAAATATTTTTGCCCGCTTAACGAGTAAGTAATATACTTCCATAAAACACTCAAGTCTTGATTTTTAAAATTCTAGATACGCAGGAGTGTGCTGTCCCAAATGATTCCTCTAAAAGTTACGGCTAAAACGAAGAGATGACCGGATTTTATTCAATTTTTAGATGTGCTTATAATAAAAACGCTTTAAGTTTTCATTGTTTTATAAGGCCGTAAATGTGTCTATGATAAAATAAAATTGTGCCTTACTATGTTCGTCCCTTGATTAATCTGTCAACCAGTCCTCGAAATTTGTATCAATTTTGTAACAGTTGCTGAATTCGAATAAAACTTGTAGTATCCCGATTCGAATTTAAATTTCACGCAAAGAAATTGAGAACAGCACCGCGAAATTGCTTTTGATTAATCTGAATTTAAATAATAAATTTAAAAGAGTCTCCTAACCTTAGGCAGGCAACCACACATAAAGGTTTTTAGGGACGCGGAAAAATACTAATATCGGGAATGTCATTGCTACCTGAATGAAAATGGAAAGCGGTCTCGTCCATTATCTATCAACTCCATTCTGAAGCCAACAAGATTTGTCTCATGTAATAGTTGTGCTATGCTTCACATTGTTTAGCCATTTTATGCTTTACGCATCGAGTTTTACATAAAACCAACACTGGTTTTTTTTATTTCGGCATAGTCCTGTTCAGTAGGAAACAAGTGGCGTAACTTGGGAGGAGTCTGATGTTTTTCTATTGTTTGTACAGGGTTTTTATAAACAATTCTAAGGGCGTATCAAAAATTCCGCTTCGCTGAAATTATGCCTCATTATAACAGTCCTCACTTGTCATTAATGTCATTTGTAACCTGTCAAATAATTAATAGAATCATCGCTTTTATTGTTCTAACGTTTTCCAAATATGAATTACAGTAAATCTCGTTGATTCAATCTCAAAACAACAAAACAGTTCTTTTCAAAATACGTAAACGGAGAGTGTCTGTAACCGTTTGTAAGCAAGAATATCTGGCCAAATACACTGATTTGTTCGAACTGGCAGTGGCAACCAAGGAGAATCTCCTGGAAGACCTTCAGTATCTCAGAAAGTTGTTGATGAGTTGAGACGACACGAGAAGAATCTACAAATATGTTTGGCAATCTGTTCTTAGGTTCAAATAAAGTTTTTTCTTTGGGAAATACGCTGTATGGGTTTATTTCTCATTGTTTTTTTTTCCTATTTAGTGTTTTAATTCCTTCACTCCTCTCACTCCACAGTGCGCTAATTTGTATGGACGAACACATTCTCCCATTTTTGAAAAACACAAAGTAGGGTTTCACTTTTTTTGACGAACACCGTTTTTGCGGTTTTTACAATTTTGTTCGCTTGTCAATTTGTGGCGGAATGTTTGGGTTTGTTCTGGCAATTTTTTCTTAAATTGTCTTTATGCCTGGGTTATTTGTTATTATTATTAATGAATGTTGTTGACAGATCTTAAGCGCAGTTACCTAGAAGTAATACCATAATTCCAATCTAAACTAACTTAAACTATTAAAAAAAAAGCAAAAGTGGAATGTGTCGAAAAAGAAAGAAATGTAGTGAAAATTAGATTCATTTTTCAAAATAATTAATCAATAGACTATTGTCTCTCTAACTGTGGTCTTTCTTTATTTCAGATAGCTTGCAGTTGAAAATGTCAGCTCCATGCTCTATAACTTTGTAACTCCCCTGCATTTGATAGAAGGGAGGGACTTGTAGGGTATTGGTTCCTGGAAATTGTTGCTCAAAAGTTGTATTTTGTGAGTCTTTAGCAATCTTGTGTAAAGAATTAAGAAGTGTTATAATGTAACATAAACAAAAGACTGAATCCTGACTAAGTGAATTTCATGAAATCTCCTAGTAAGTGATTTAACTAAATAAATATAATGCCTGTTAAATTGTGTTAGCACCAGTTAACGATTCAAATCCTAACATAAACTGTGAATTTACAAACACTAAAACAAATTTACACGTGTTAGCGTCGGTCGAAAATTTGCATTTTCCGATTAGAAAGCCGCAAGAATTAGCTCCGGGCGTTGGGGAAAGTGTGGCGTCGTGGTCGTTACGATTAAAACAAAGGCTTCCTCCCTCTTAGTAACTACCAAGCCAACTAACTTCACCCCGCTAACTTACCGCGTCTTTTCACCATGCTCTCACTCACGAAACCAAAACAACAGTGAACCTCTCACCTCTCTACCAAGCCGCCCTCTTCTAACAACCCTCAAACAAGCCACTACCAATCAGAACTACCAACTACCAAAAGGCTCTAACGTGCACATGGTTGCCTATGTTTATTGATTTTCTTGATTGATTTCCACTCATTGTGGCCGCACTTTCAAGAAGTGGAAGAACTAACAATTTAAAATTTTCATTAATTGCTGCTCAACTTGCGGTAATTTTTACAAGTTCGTCACAGTAAAGGCAATAAATCCGTTTCTCTGGTAAGACCTTCCCCTATTGTAAGAGTAATAAATAGAAAATTATTTCAATACGGTACGTGGCTTACCCAGCTATCAATGTGACGTACCATTGATTACTTTTTTCTGAATTTTAGAAGAAAAAATCGGCTATAAAATGCTTGACCTGAAAGTCGTAAACACACTATATCTTTCGACAAACTTTACCTACCTACTTGATTTCACAACATGGTTTACTCAACTACCAAGCGACAAATCTTCCGTGAATATAACTAAAATGTAATTGATTAAAATTTGGTGTATTTGATGAGGTATTTTAATTATTTTTGAGTGAGTAAATAAAATACTGGAACCTCGGTTTTCGAAATTCTAAGTATGCTGGAGTAAATAAAAAGTAACGTCTAATATGAACAGATGTACGGATTTTATTACAGGTGCTTTAGCATGCGAAGGACTCGATTATCTGCATCTGACTATCAGTTTCAATTACATACTTTCAAACGTTAATTGTTTGATAAAGAAAACGTGACTATGATAAAATCAAATTTAATTTTCAAATAAACTTTTTCCATTCAAACACAAGCATACTTTACACTTAGTGTTTGCATGACTTGCTTGAATACAACAATATAGGAAAAAAGATAACAAAAGTTAATGGAATTTTAACTCAGCAGTGGAATTTCGTGTCACTTGTACACAGTGTGGACACTACTTATGAATATAATTCATTGACCGCTTCAAAGACGTTGTCAAACGTAAATGTTAATTGCGTCTACAATCGACTTTTATTTTTTGTTGCACAGGTGATTGCACCTTTTTTCTGAGTTGACGAAATCTACTTGCATACCACCAGTGTTTTTGTATACCACTGTTTTAATAGCACTTCAGATATTCGCACTTTCAGATAACTTAAACAAAAAATCTACAAAAATGTTTATAACAATTCAAATGGATAAGAAATTAATCTTTTTGTTTATAAATAACTTCAAGATTTTCTCCGTTTTGTCGCCGTTTGAGGAAAAATGTCGATCGCATTTTTTTTAATGGTCAAAGTTTAATATAAATAAACAAGTAAATTTATTGTCCAACAGGCATTGTTGCCTATAGTGGATACAAAAATTAAACAGCAATACATGTGACAAATACATAGTAAATAAATATAACTATAACTATAACGTAGAGACATTTATGTAAAAACACAATTGCAATCTTGATAAAAAGCTAACACTCTCTTCTTGAACATAGGAGAATTAAAATTTTTTTGGTATATATCCTCATCTAAGCTCAGACAATTATACAACCTTATGCTGGAAATCAATGGGCTGTTAAAGTGATGATGTGTATTCGGAATTCTGTAGAAAAAGGTGTTATATGATCTAGATCCTATCCTGGGAACTAACAAGTTTAACTCATTGAGGAGCAACGGACTGTTGATCTGCCCATTGAGGACTTTTTGTAAAAATGCCAATTTGGAAATATTTTGCTTAGCATATAGTGAACTTTCATTAACGGACCAAATAAGTTTACGTTGTTCATAATCCCGTATTGAGTAATGCCCAAACATTTTGAAATATAAGTGTTTACAAAATTTTTTTAATATATTTTCTAAACTATTAATATGTATTTGATAAAATGGACTCCAGATGATGCTACAATATTCCAGTTTGGACGTCACAAGACTATAGAATAGGAGTTTAATACATGATACATTTTGAAAATCAGATGTATTTCGTATAATAAATCCAAGCACTTTTAGTGCAGATCAATTAATATTTTCTATGTGCGGAACAAAGGTTAATTTTGAGTCCATCATCACACCTAAGTCTAACACTTGATCACATAACTCTAAGGGAGTGCCTTTAACATTATAATAAAATTCATGCAAGTTTCCAGCGAAATGCAAATATTATATTTCTAACAGCGTCGTTTTTGTAACCTATATGTTATTATTTGAGGCCTGAAATATAAGCATAGCTGTCTTTTTTCTTTGTTGTATTACATACTTAATGTGTTCTGTAATTTTATTCTTTTAATTCTTGTATTTTTCATTTGACTTATCAAAATTTTACACCTTTGTGCTAAGTATTTTATTTAGAAGAATTTGAATTACTGCTTAATAAAAGTCAATCTGAAATTTTATACACTTAATTTCACTTGCATTATTTATTAATATTTCGGAGTGCTTTTCTATTCCAGCTGCTACTTATTGCTCTTTAATGACGTGGTGTTAGTTATTCATATAAAAATATTAGAACATTGTGACAGTTCTACAAAAACGACAAAAAAAGATGTTGTATAATCGGCTTAATCCTGCATATATATCTATATCTTGGGATTTCTCTCGATATCGATGATTATTTCTGCATTTACGTATGCTCACGGGTTTCCCAAAACGAAATTTATAAGGAAATGACTACTAATACGTTTTGAAAATTAGAATTACAGGCATCGCATGAATAATATACTAGGAAGTGCAGCTTGGTTCCAAACAACCTTATAGTTGTTAAGTTTATTACAGAGACCTGATCTGAAAATTGAAAATATGAAACTTGTTTTTCACATTCCCGGGAAAACTCCTTCAGCTATAATATAAGAGGAGTTCGAGATAAACGTTCAATTGCTAAGTATACAAAAACTTTCTCACTAGTACTGGAGTTTCGAGCAATCTGCTCAAAAAATATGCATTATAATGGTTTAAATTAAATTCCTCGAGAGCGGTACGACGATAAAGGCAGGATTTAGCAACAATAAAAACATCATATCAGTATAACAGAATTCATGTTAAAAGAAAAATCTTTTAACTCTGACTTAAGACCATCAACATTCTAATATTAAAAATGTATTACTGACTAAATTGGTGTTTAAGACTGGAATTAATTTTATTTGTACGAAGAATGTCCTTACCAGTTATATCAGGGCCGTAGATTACTTTAACTGCCCATTCACAATGGACATAAGACATAAGAACGAGCGCATAACATAATTTACGTAATAGACGATGAATATCACTGAGGTTATATTTAGTTGCCATTACGAATCACTTTATTAAGATCAGAAAAAGAACGAGTAGAAGATAGTATCGATGCAAGTTTTTTGATATCATGTTCCATTTTTTAAGCAACAGAAGAAGCAGTATATTCAACAATAGTAAATAACAAAACATTAGAACTACGCAGTTTGTTTTCTCATTAATTTTTCAAAAAAATTGTATCAGTACGATCTTAAGAGTAACATCATAAATGTTAACACGATTATAATTAGATGTTTTGATTTCCATCCATACCTCTGAATTACACGACTGTCTATGATGTGTTTCAAATTACTATCAATTGACATTTTTCGTTCATTTTGCAGAGCATACCCAAAAAGATTTGTCACTAATTATATCAGCAATCTCGACCTCTTCTACTCCCAGACACAAAGTATTTAAAAACTTAATTATCATTGCTGTAAAATTACTACTTATACAAATTTTTGGTCAATGAAACTTATACAAGGATATCTGGTACCTACACTTCTTATTTTGCTTATTTTCACCTTCGTACATTTACCTGATTAGCATCAATTACAAGTAGTCGCAAATTGAAGATCTGTCAGTCGGTAGGTCTGATTAAATAAGAGATCTTGATAAATGTGTCAGAATGAATTAAAATACACTCGTAAATTATAAATATATATAGGAAAAGTACACTCATCTTTTTCGTTTAATACAATACGAAATTACGAAATTCATACGCTTTGGTGTGATGAGTTTCAACTTAAGGTGTAGAAGGATTAAGAAAACAATAATTCCAATTTTTGCTTAATAAGTTAAGTTAGAAAATCCTGCAAAGTACACAGGTCACTGATTCCGACGTACAGCGGTCTTTTTTCTTCCAAATGGTGGTGCCAATCTGTCGATGTTGAAGGACCATAAGAAACGAAAAACCTGATTTTTGCCTGAAAAATATGTAAAAGGATAGGTGAAAGTAGGTACTTGATATTCCAGGAGGTAGGATACGTTTGAAATATATAAAACGTAGGTATACAAGATTAGAGCACCATGATCAGTTGATCAACTAGTGATAGAGACATTTCCGCTGCTGTTGTAAAAAGGAAACAAGTAAAGTTACCAACTTAACTAAGTTTCGATGCTGATTGCAGATTATAAAAATAATCCACTTGTACTTGATAAAATATACTCACTAAATCAGTAATCTTTGGTCAGGATTAGTTTTCTGTGAAAACTGTTTTGACAATTTCGTTTTGATACGGTGTTTTAGAATTGTGTACCTGCTACTTTTGTAAGTTCTTGGAAACTTTATTTTCTATCACACCAGTTGGATCACACTTTCCAGCCTCACAGATCTGATATTGTCTACATAAGTAAATGTTAAGTTAGTCAGTAAAAATTCAAGACAATTTTATAGTTAATGGTTTGTTCCATACTTGACACATCAAAAAATTTTAAGCTGTCTGCGACTGGCCCGTTTCAGTTAAACGTAGCCATTTCATTGGTCAAACTGCTTCCGATGGAACCTATTTTCAAGTACCTTTAAGTGCTGCTTCAGTTCCTAATACCTGACATTTTCTGGCGTAGGCACGGCGCTGTTGTTTAAATGTCTTCGGTCCATCGGCATTTGACAGGTTCGCGGTCTGCCAGACATTCGTTTCATTATTCTTTATTGGGTTTGTTAAGTTTTTTTAACAATACTAGTACTGCTATTTCCCATTTTTCAGGAAACGTTTCTTTTTCAGGAGTCAATTCGTCACTTGCGGAGTATATTCGGTTAATTTTTCCTCAGCCTCACCGGACCCGAAAACTTTGTACACTTAATTTTTACTACTGCTTCACTCAACCCTGCTTGTGTTAACGGAATTATTCCTCCAGCTTGGGAAGGTTCACACTTTTCACACTTGTCAATGGGAAACAGTGCTTTAGCTAGTTGGATTATACTGTAAATGTCTATGTTCACAGGTATAGATATTTTTTCGTTATCTTGTCCCGTATATTCTCCTCAATTTCTTGATAGTTCGCCCCCGTGTCTTTATTGTCTGTTTATATACTTGTAGTTACTTCTTTGTTTCTAAATCGATCTCTTTCGTGTGTTCTTTGTGTTAGCCTTTCTCTTAGCCGTAGACCTTCAGTTCTGACATACTCCTTTGAATGAATGGCACAGAACGACGCACCACGAGCAATCGGTTAAGTTGGTTTATGGTGAATTTTTCCAACTCAGAGTGTGTCGATATGGTAATGCTTTATGGTGTGTGCGAACATTTGCATCAGTAGTACAACATCTCCGAGATCATGGTACCTTCAATTTCAAACTCACGATCGTAGCCGTGATAGGACAGAAAAAATAATGTAAGCTGAAGAACAAATTTTGGGACGCGACGAAGAAGAACCCGACGTCAACACTCGCCGACTTGGAGCTGAAGTTGGAGTTTCACAGTTTGTAACGCATCGTACATTAAAACAACAAGGTCACATCTCTGCCGACTCTGAACTTTTGATCAACTATGTTTAAAATTTGTCCCAGGTAGTACATCGCTTCATATTTGATAATAACAAAATAATTCCTTTGGTAGGGTCATTTATCAACCTTTTTTCGTTTCTTCAAAGTATTTGCTTCTTTTTATTGTTGATTTTCTTCGTTAACCTCTTTCATTCTAATTTTTGGTTTTCTTTTATCCTCTTTTTTCGGATGATGCATCTGCCAGTGGGAAGGGCTCGCCACAGAAGCAATTTTTCCTTTTCGTTTTTCTTTTCCGGAGTTTTTGGCCAGAACAGAATCTTTTTGAAAAGCTATGAAACATAAGTTAGTCTTTCGTCATTCTGCTTCTCGGGAGTTATTGGAAGAACTTGAATATTTTGATTCTCACGTTCTGTTGTCTCACCATCTATAATGTCGCTGTATAATTTCTTGAACGTGTTCATCAAAATTTTGAGCGTTCTCATTAAAATTACTCTTTTCAGAACTGGAATTTTGGAATCATCATCAACTGGTATGGTATAATGCGTTAATCCGCAATGACCCATTAAATGGTACCTGTTAACCTGTTATCAACCACTGGTACATAAAGCACTGCAAGAGTACCAGTTCATGAATTGCAGTTTTATGGATTATAACCCAATTTTATTGAGAATTAATATATTTTAAATGATTTTTCAAACATACAATGACATGCTAGGAGTACAAACATTAATTTGACTAACGCTTAAAGCCAAATAATAAAATTACTTTGGTACACACTTGCTTGGCGATCTACGTAAGAGAAACTGTGAAATTGTGCTGGAAAGTGACTTCAGATTTTTATTAAGACTGCCATTTACCAATACATCATTGTACAAAAGTGCAATAAAGGCGTAGAGGTTGCGATGTAAATCTACACTTTTTAAAATACGTACTGCAAAAGCAAAGCATTTTAGAGTACCAGATAATAAAATTGTGTTCCTGGAGGTATTATTTGGGCTTCGACTTCCGAAATTATTAATAGTTATAATAATAATATAATATATTCCTATCAGACTTAAACTAGAAAGCATTATAGAACAACGGTATGTTAAAACAATACCCATAATAAGATCTAAAATGTCTGAGAATTATATATGTATGGTTAAGTGCTGATAAAACAATAGATATTAAAGACAGCTAAATGCAATTAGTGCTAATTAAATTCTCAGATGTAATACGAACGTTTTTTAATCTCCACGAAATATCTTACATTTACTCCGTCAACAAGTTGCTATCATCTGCAAAGTTCATTTTGAATGTTTAAAGATACATGAAAAGTGCAACGCATTTTTAGAAGACTACTTACTGATAGAAAGCGGAAACAAAAGTAGGTCACGGATCGATGTTCTGCTACAGCCTACTACAATTCACTTGTTTGTAATATTACGAGATTTTAATGATCCATTTACCTATCCATAAATTTTCGTTAATTACTTATATTTGATACAGATTTCTACAGCCGTAGGATAAACGACTGATAGATGGCACAACTTTAGTACGCTAAAAATTGAAATGACGGCATTATTAATTTTTTAGAATGATTAAAATAGGCATAACAATCTTTTACCTACCAGGCTGATAGTCCACCGGCATAGAATTAAAAGTAAGAAGGAACGAAAAATTAAACAAACTTGAGGTGTGCCCTTTTTAAATTTTTGTTTTTATATGTCAAAATATGAAAATTATTTTTCACATATCAATGTGGAAATATTACTATTAGCTACAAAATATGAAGAAAATTTGGAATGAAAAACAGGAACATAAAATTAATTCAAACGAACAAACTACACAAGGGAGTGTCGCGTCGTAGTAACATACATATTTGTTTCCGTTTTAATTGAAAGGTTGTAATCAGTTCTTATCAGTTGCGTTAACATAAATTACATAAAGTATAAGATTATTTGCATTAATGAATAATCTAAGCTATTTGTTTTTTAAATCGTGTAGTTTAATACGCATAACTGAATGTTTGTTTGGGTGTGCTTCGTCATTCGGTAAAAACACATCAATAACCTTATTTCAGTCTTATTGCCTCTCCTTAATTATACTCCAGCGACTCCAAGAATTTCGTTATTCAAACATTTACACGCTTGACTACAGGCATAATATTGACTTAAGTATCATCTCGACTGAAGTGCTAATTTTCCGATAGCCATCCACGCACTCAACCCAAGACTTCACGACACGCATCCAAAGTCTAATTACACTTATCGTTAATCACAGGACGTTGTTACTTATCACATTTGGAAAAATTCGCTCCGTCATAATTCCATAATGACCTCACATTCGGCGAATTTTCATCACAATTATCGTTTGCAATAAAGCAAACACAGGAAGTGTGAAAACCACAGTGTTTTTCATAAATCAATATTCACAACGCACAATTGACGTAATGCATTGTTAAACCGGTTATTATCATCTTGTTTCAGTAATCACGTTCAAGATATTAGTTGTAAACAACGGTGACCGGTTTCGGGCGATCATTATCAAACAATTCAGTAGTGAAACGTCTTTCGTGTTAGCGATTAGTAGAGATAACTCAAATTCATAAAAAATCGTGATAAAGTTATCGCAGCTAGTGAAATGTACAGTACGTTGTTGTAACGCTACTCATCAACATGTCTCTAGTGGCAGCTATTGTGATCAACCTTTTCTCAATCGTGGTGTCCGTGGTGGTTGTTATTATCACGTACATCAAATGGAGACACCAGTATTGGTCTAGACGGAGAATTCCATTTTTGGTACCGTCAATCCCGTTCGGAAATCTCCAAAACCCGGCGAAGAAACGATACTCAATTGGATTCCACATTAAGAACTTATACGATGAAGCCAAAAGGAAAGGTCTGAAGCACTGTGGACTCTATTTCTTCGCAAGTCCTATATACTTAGTGGTCGATTTGGACTATTTGAAGAACATTACAACCAAGGACTTCCAACATTTCGTGGACCGTGGTATGTACTACAACGAGAAGTCTGACCCTATTAGTGCCCACCTGTTCGCCATTGGTGGTTCCCGATGGAAAAACCTTCGTACTAAACTCACTCCTACGTTCACGTCTGGTAAAATGAAAATGATGTTCCCGACTTTAATAGAATGTGTGTCCCTTCTAATGGAAGCTGTGGAAAGAGAACAAGTCCAAATCGACGTCAAAGAACTTTTGGGGCGCTTCACCACTGATATTATCGGTTCGTGCGCTTTCGGCCTCGATTGTAATTCGATCAAAGAAGAAAACTCCCCTTTTCGCATCTATGGAAAGAAAGTCTTCACTTCTTCACGCATGAGAACTTTGAAGATGACCCTAGCATCAAGTTTCCCGAACCTAGGGCGACTGTTCGGTGTGCGTCAAGTCTCAAGTGAAATTTCAAACTTCTTCAGGAACATTGTCAAGGAGACGATTGAGTATCGCGAAAAAAACAACTTTTCGCGACCTGACTTTATGCAACTGTTAATCGACTTGAAAAACGAAAACAAGGGCTATTCTTTAAATTTGGACGAAGTCGTAGCCCAAAGCTTCATCTTCTTTCTGGCAGGATTTGAAACCTCGTCCACCACAATGACGTTCACGTTGTACGAACTGGCCAAAAACGAAGAAATTCAAGAAACGTTGCGCAAAGAGATCTTCAGGGTTTTGCAAAAGCATGACGGCAAAATCACTTACGAAGGGATCAACGAAATGAAGTACTTAAATCAAGTGATTGATGGTGAGTACTTGTAATTGATAGACCAGGTTTAATTAGACTTTGTAGAGAGTCTGCGAAAATACCCTCCGGTACCTTTCGTTACGAGGACTTGCGTGAAGGACTACAAAATACCTGATGTGGATGCGGTCATCCAGAAGGGGCGACGCGTGATAGTACCCATTCTAGCTTTGCACTACGATGAAGAGTACTACCCGGACCCTTACAAATTCGATCCTGATCGCTTCAACGAGGAGAACAAACAAATGAGAAATCCATATGCGTACATTCCGTTTGGTGAAGGTCCTCGAATTTGCATAGGTACGACCACTAGTAATAATAATAACGATAATAATAATTGGTTGTAGGTATGCGGTTTGGTTTAATGCAAACCAAGGTCGGTCTCGTCGCTCTATTGCAAAAGTACAGGTTTAAAGTGAACCCAAGGACCAGCGATCCTTTAAGAATGTCGTCGAACTCCTTCATACTAAGCGCAGAAGGGGGGATTTGGCTCGATTCCGAGAAACTCTGAAACAGACATTGACTTATTTATTGCATAATGTGATATTTATTTTATTTTTTTAATTATTTGACGTATTATCAGCCTTTGGCTGAGTCCACCGGAAACAATGAGATTCCTCTATATATTTATCGTTTGTGTATTCGGGCCTCAAGTGTGATAAAGTGATAGATTACCACACTTGCGCTAATGAAGTACTTAGTGATATTGCAAAAGTTTTAAGGTCAAGGCTGTACTAGTGTGTTCCGCAGAAAAATACCGTGTTCAGACAATAACATCGTCGTAAAAACGTGAAAGTGTTACCCAACAAGAAAAACCACAATTTTAATTCAATATTTTGTGGTTTAGTGAAGAACTGATGAATTGGTGTGATTGTCGGCAATAACAGTAGCCTGTAAACACGATTATCGTGCAGTCTGGCGTAGTAAAAAATGCGCTTATCAGTAGCATTACGTTTTAAATTTTTCTTAATTTAGAACACTTCAATTTATTGCTCTTAACTGGTCCATATTTTTTTATTTATTGATTATTACTGGCGATATGGTACACAAATGATCCGATAATGATCCAGTCAGTCAAGTTTTGTAACGTTTCTGTTTACTCAGTGTTAAGTATTTTTGCTACATATTTTTAAAAATATTTTTGTTTGTGTTCGTTTACATTAAAGATAACAATTAAATGTAACGTCACTTGAGTAATCTCTACTTAAGTCTTTCAGAAACAAGTCGGTGGAAATGAGACTAAGTACACAAATGGATAATTACTGGAAGTGAAATTTTTTGCTGGTAATCCCTCGTTTCAGTTTATTTCTCAGAAGCAAACAATCCTAACACGTTTAGGTTTTATTACTGCACCTACCTTGGCATTTTTATCCTATTGTTTCTTATTCCTTATCTAATTGTTGTGGTATTTCTTGTCTGCACCTTATCGGACGTTTTTGTTTACGATAACTTTTAATTAATTTTTGATTTCTCTTATCATTAATTTTGATTGTTTTGTTCCTCGCTGACAAAATAACATAACAATGACCAATTTCACTAATTTTCTTTAACAAAAATAAAATAATTAAAATCAATGGCAATCAAAACAGTTTGGTAGAAGGGGTTAGCAATTGCGTTTTAATTTTAAATTGTTGGTTAATCAGACTATCAAACACAAAAACAAGTGTAGAGAATTTTTTTAACGGTAATATGACATTTGGCTTTCGTTAAAAATATTAAATTTTTAGCAATTTCATTAATATCACGTTGTTTTTGCGTGAATGATTGGTCCGAAGAATGTACACTGCAAATGGTTGAAATTAGTATCACGAAAAAATGGTAAGTCTTGTTGCAGACTAGGTACTTTCTGTCCATTTGTGCTATATAGGACATCGGACGCTCTTTTACACAGTCTTCGGCCAGATTTCTTATAAACGCCCAGAAATTTTGGAGAAACAGAGACACCATATTCATTTATTTTCTTAATGAGGTTGCAGTAAGAGAAAAAAGTTTCCAGTACAAGCAAATACGTCGGAAGCCAGTGTGAACGTTTTTTAACTTAGTGATAATTACATATATAATAATAATTTTAATTGTGCTCATGACATAGCAGAAATATTGGATTTATTGTTATTGTTATTTTATTGTTATTAGTGCTAAAGCGCTAAGTCTTGGAAATCAGGCACTATTTATTTTCAAGAAGCCTATCATTAGATTAGCTTTAGCGGACATGTATTCCATTTAATAATAATAACAATCATGGCATGGCATACTTGGTCTTAGTACCGCAAAGTGGAGATACTACTCAACTAAATCTCCATAGTTGCAAAGAAAAGTTCAATTTGACTTAGACGAAAAAAAAATGTCGATATACATATTCAATGTTATTTATATTTTGTATATTAACATACTCCTACGCGTGTAGTTAATAATCCGTCTCGATTTTTTGTCCTAAAAAAATCAAAATTGCATAACAAGATTTTACAATTTAACTTTGAAACTGCAAAACCGAATTCTCTGAAATTTTGCAAACGAATTAACGTTATGGTAAGCAAACCGCTAATCAAAATTTCCCAAAATTCATGACGTCGTCTCTTTAGTTATAACAAAAGAAAGTGTTTATCTGACGAATGATTCCAAACCGCAACATGCGACTTATCTTGAACGCCGAAGACTTGGACTCCTGACGTCTCGACGTGCCGAAGGGAAGAGCTCTCACTAGGAAACCTCGACATTATTTCTCCCTTTCCGAACGTAATTCAAAACAACTACAGACTCCACACAATGACGTGGTTGACTAAAAACCAGAAATTTCACAGAAAATCTCTGATCAGTAAAAATCCCGTCAATCGACTGTAACATACCGAAGCCAATAGAGATCGTACTCAAAAAATAGCGAAATCAGCGCAGGGACTTGGTGCCAAAAAACAACGCTTCGTAACTTAGTAGTAGGGAACGAGGGGCTTGTTGTAACAGTTTGTAGGAAAACGAATATAATTTGGTATCTATTAGCTGTTTGACCATTATAAAAGTATCTGTCGGTAGTCTAACTGTTCCCCTACTGGACTGAACAGGTAAAAGGTCAAAATTGTTCATATTCACTTCATACCAGGCACTTTCTTAAAAAAAGTGCACTGTTACAACTTGCCCCGTGTTTGGGGCTAGTTGTAACAGCCATCAGGCAGGTAGTAACAGTAAAAGTAAAGCTAATGTTAATACATATTTAGACTTTATTTTTCAAAAATCAACACAACACTTCATTTTTTTTATCAGTTTATCAGTAAAACTGAAATAAACTTTTAGAAAAAGAGTCAACATTAAAAATTTGAGTTTTGTTTTCCTTTTTCTTAATATATCTGGAAAGCAATATATGGCATAGGTCAAAATTTTCGCTCGCTTTTTGTATGCTATGTACCAGATTTGTAGAAGTGAATTTGGGATAAGTTGTAACATGTTACAACTTGCCCCCGAGATATTGTTACAACATGCCCCGTAGCACATTTTTCTACATTTAATTACATTTCGACAAAATTATGTCGCTTAGCGTCAAAATGTGTAAGGAATATCAAAGCTGAGTAATTTTTGAACTACATGCAAAATTAAAAGTTTAAAATTAGTTAATAACAGATACGAAAAACCAAATTTTACTAAAGCAATATTTTACATTACTTGGCCAAAACGAAACACGTGCACACATCCACTCACTGCGCTGGCTGGAGGAATAGTGATTGTGATGACATGATGTCTTATGGTGCAAGAATTAAATTTAGGAAAAAACCTGACGATAAAGAGTTTAAATTCCCGGTAAAAATTTAGTGTTACAACTTACCCCTGTTACAACAAGCCCCTAGTTCCCTTACTAAAACGGTCTCGTTGCTTTGAGTCTCCTCTCCAACGCCATGTCCGCTATTTCAACACAAATCAATAAACTCAGCGGATCAGTATCACTTTCTTCTGGAAAAAACTCTCTGGTGCCGCTAAAGCTCAACACAAGTATCCACTTCAGGCGTACTCTTCAAAAACTCAAACAACCTGACCTCCAATTGTTTTTCCCCAGTTCCGGCACCTCCGGCATGCGTATCGGTGACCTTCACCTAGGGGCGATATCGCACGGGTCATAGTTTAACAGGACAAAAATGTCAACACAATGCTGCTGTCAAAGCAAAGCTACCCTCACCAGGTCCGAAATAAAAATTTCAAGAAACCCAAGAAACATACATACCGGAACGGGCTACTAATGGTAAGTCGCCAGAGATGGATTAATGGTTTTCAGCTGGTTTATGGTAAAAGAGAGCTGGGCAAGATCGACGTGAAGAGAGGACAGAAAATTTACCTATTACTGTTTTCACAAGCGAGAGCTCTAGCAGAAGCCAATCGAAGCCTTTAGTTCCTTATAAAAGGATAGAGAATTTGGTGGCGGGTACTTCTATTAGATTGGTACTCGACTGGCATGAGCAAGTCAGGTGGTTGGACGAGCCGGGGGATATTTGCATCCTGACCCGCTATGAAGGGCCTTTCACGGTAATGCTAAAAGCGTCAAGTTGGCTCCTAAGCCAACCCCGCCGGTACTTAGATTGTGAATACCTTTTTGCCTGGCTTTTGGTAAGGTGTGGAGTAACATGGAATTCCCTTCACTGGGTACATTTGAACCCGAATGAAGCATGCACTTACTGGGTGTAAACTCTTTGCAGCCTAATTTTATATAATAGGTCAACAAATCCGACTACTGCTTACAGTAAGTCACCAACCGCAAGAAGTATTACCAATTCTCGAAATGATGCACTAACCAAGTCCACCAGTGTTCGTCGAACTCAGGATCAGCTTCGCACAAAATTAACACATAGCAATGTGAAAACGTTTGACCCGATTTTTCTGTCTTCCTCTTATTTTTCGGCGTTCGGCTTCCACACTGTCACCTTCTTCGCTTCCATATCGTCGCCCTTTCTCCTTATATCGCGGAACCATCGTAATCTCCGCACTTTTATCATTTTCATAAAATTTTCCTCGTGCTGGATACTCTATATTTCTAAGTTCATTAGTTGTCGAAGTTCCCCTTACCCTCCTTCCCTAGGTCCACATACTGGTCCCATCATTTTTCTCTCGAATTTGCATTACCTCACCTTTCGTTAGGTTCATCGTCTCCACCCCGTATGCTACCACCGATCGCATAGCTACTTTGTATACTTTCAATAGTGTTGTCGACAGTCCGTCCCTCTACCTTACTCCGTATTTTACTCAAATTCTTCAGTTGCACCCGTAAACACAGTTGTTTTAGGTTCTCTCACCGTCATTTCTACAAGTCTTTTTAGTTTTTCTTGTATTTTCATTGTTCTCATATCATCAGAATGTGGAACCGGCAGTGATGGAAATGGTGGAGTGAGTGTCGAGATCTCCACGGAGAAAACGGTTATGATGCTGCTGAAGGGATCGCTGTCAAAATCGATACCGCCGAAGGTGACTGTTGGATGTATGATTATTACTCATACATACGTACCGAAAAGATTGATATAAATGAAACACAAACATGTGCTGTGTAGCACTGTATTTACTTGTTGTTGACGGTTCGGAACCTATGTAAAAAGTGTGTAAATTCGGAGGAGATACATTGCAGGTAGAAGAGAAAGTGGGGACGCTTGTGACAAGGGTTGGTGGGTAAAACCCTAACCCGAACAGTGACGGTTCAGGAAAAGCGTGTGAAGTATCTGGGTATAACAGTTAGTGAGCGTATGAATTTTAGGCCACAAGTCGAGAGTGTGAGAGGTAGGGTGATCGGAGTGATGGGGAAATTGAGGCGTGTACTGAGAAAAGAATGGGGTCTGGATAAACGAACGGTACGAGTGATATATAAAGGATTGGTGGTTGCGTGTGCTTCGTTTGGTGTGGGGGTGTGTGGTGTGATGTCTTGAGGTTTGCATATGCGAGGGAGTTGGTGACCAGGTGTCAAAGGAGCGTGTTGTATGGGTGCATGGTGTTTTGTAAGACAGTAAGTACGGATGCGATGCAAGTGTTGATGGGAGAGTTACCGTGAGATTTGGAATTTTTGGGGAGAGGAGTGATGTTTAGGGCGAAAAGGGGACTGAGTCTAGGAGAATTGGGATGGCTGCAGATTAGGCTGGAAGAGGTGGAGAGGAATCTGGAAAAAAAGGATGTGTTGGATGCAAAGCTATGGGAGATCTGGCAGAGAAGATGGGATATGAGCGAAAAGAGTAGAGTGACTCATGATTTTGTTCGGAGTGTGAGGTTTGCGAGTGTTCAAGACGGCCATTGACGCCTGCCCCACCACCCCTACAACAACATCGAGCCGTTTATTCGTCACCGAGAGGACAACAGGCAAAAAATTCCTCATCGCCGATCAGTGTGTGTTCCCGCACGCCCTGCTACCAAAACCGCGTACGAAGTCCGCATATGAACTTTCCGCGGCAAACGGCACCGTCATCGCGACGTACGGAACAATCACGTTGTCGTTGAATTTAGGCTTACGGCGCGATTTTACGTGGAGATTTGTTGTCGCGGGCGTGGTAAAACCCATTATCGGAGCCGACTTCCTGGCTCACTACGGACTCCTGGTGGACATAAGAAACCAGCGACTGCACGATCAAATTACCCAACTCACTTCCATCGGAGAGGTGACTGAGTGTGAGATCCCGTCCGTCAAAACCATCGCCGGAAGTTCATCGTTCCACGAACTCCTCCAACGGTTTCCCGATGTCACACGTCCAGACGGAACCCCTAAGGCGGTGAAACATTCCACCCGCCACCACATCGTAACCACGCCGGGCCCTCCCATTGCGCAACGTCCCCGAAGACTCGCGGCCGACTGACTCCAGGCAGCAAGAAAAGAATTCGACGCCATGGTCCAGCTAGGAATCGCCCGCCCTTCCCAAAGTTCATGGTCTTCACCGCTTCACATGGTGCCCAAAAAGGGCGACGAATGGAGGCCATGCGGAGATTACCGTGCCCTCAACGCCAGAACCTGCCCCGACAGGTACCCGGTGAGACACATCCAAGATTTTGCGCAATCGTTACACGGCAAAATCATATTTTCAACGATCGATCTGGTACGCGCATTCAACGAGATCCCGGTCGTAGAAGAAGACGTTCCGAAGACTGCCATTACCACCCCATTCGGCTTGTTTGAATTTCAATTCATGACGTTCGGCTTACGAAACGCAGCGCAGACGTTCCAGCGATTCATGGACGAGGTGCTGCAGGGTCTCGATTTTTGCTATGCATACATCGACGACATCCTCGTCGCATCCGCATCACCAGAAGAACACCTCCAGCACTTGGAAACTGTGTTTCAGCGTTTGAGAGAGTACGGCGTCGTTATCAATCCCATGAAATGCGTCTTCGGCCAGCCAGAGGTCAAATTTTTAGGATATCTCGTTTCCGGCGCAGGTACACGTCCACTTCCAGAAAAGGTCGAAGCAATTCGCAGCTTCCCGCAACCAAGTACAGTAAAAAAGTTGCGCCAGTTCTTGGGTATGTTGAATTTTTTTAGAAGATTCCTACCTAAGGCGGCAGAGACGCAAGCACCTTTGAACGACCTCCTCCAGGGCAACGTCAAAGGAAAAACTCCGGTCAACTGGACACCAGCAACGGTGGCCGCATTCGAGGCGTGCAAGGAGAGCCTCGCCGGAACCACATTATTGGCACATCCCGAGCCAAACGCACCATTGGCTATTTTTTCGGACGCGTCAGATTTCGCCATCGGAGCAGTCCTCCAGCAGAAGGTTGATGGTCACTGGCAACCGTTGGACTTCTTTTCTAAAAAATTGAGTCCCACCGAGTCGAATTACGGGGCTTATGATCGAGAATTACTAGCCATTTATCTCGCAGTCAAACATTTTAGGCATATGGTAGAGGCGCGGTCTTTCACCATTTATACAGACCACAAGCCGATCTCGAACGCCTTTCAGAAGAAGAATACCGAGTCCTCACCCCGCCAAATACGACACCTGGACTTCATCAGTCAATTCACGACTGACATTCGCCACATAGCAGGGACTGAAAATGTTGTCGCAGATGCTCTTTCTCGCATCGAGGCCGTGGAAACCTCGATTGATTTCCAGGCTCTGGCAGCAGCACAACAGCAGGATGACGAACTCGAGAGATTTCGAATAGGTAATACAGGCCTGCAGCTCAAACTGGTACGAATCCCAGGCTGCGACGTATCGGTACTCTGCGACGTCTCCACGCGAACAGCGCGTCCTTACGTCACCGAGTCGTTTCGCCGAGCTGCATTCGAGTCAATCCACCGTCTATCCCATCCAGGCGTTAAAGCCACCGTAAAACTGGTGACGCAACGTTACGTCTGGCCATCAGTCAAATCAGATTGTCGAGAATGGGCCCGCAACTGCGTAGAGTGTCAGCGTTCGAAAATCTCACGCCATGTCTCTTCGCCCGTCGGTACGTTCTCGCCACCATCAGCGAGGTTTGAGCACGTGCACTTGGACATAGTAATTATGCCACTCTCAGAGGGTTATCGTTACTGCCTTACCATGGTAGATCGGTACACCCGCTGGCCAGAAGCCGTACCCATTAGCGACCAGGAAGCAGCAACCGTGGCACGAGCTTTTTACGACACATGGATCGCACGATTCGGCACCCCGCTACGAGTAACCACCGACCAAGGTAGACAATTCGAGTCGTACCTATTTAAACAACTAAATTGTTTATTAGGAACCACTCATTTGAGAACTACAGCCTACCACCCCTCAGCCAACGGAATGGTTGAACGCCTACACCGACAGTTAAAAGCGGCAATCATGTGCCACCAGAATAATCGCTGGACTGAAGCCCTATCCACCGTCATGCTCGGCATTCGAGCAGCATGGAAAGAAGACTTCCAGGGTTCCTCCGCGGAGCTCGTATATGGCCAACCTCTCCGCCTGCCCGGTGAATTCCTAGGCATCCCACGCGACGAAAACAGCGCAGACAACAGCACCGCAAGCTTCCTCAAGGAGTTACGTCAACACGTGCGTAACTTGAAGCCATGTGAGGGAACACGACATGGAACAAAGAAGACCTTCATTTTTAAAGATCTCGCCACGTCCGAACAAGTTTTTATACGCCACGACGGTCCCAAGCAGCCTCTTCAACAGCCATACGACGGTCCGTACAGAGTCGTAAGGCGATCGGCGAAAACGTTCGTCGTCAACATCAAGGGTCGAGATGTCACCGTTTCCATAGACCGGCTCAAACCCGCGTACATACTCAACGACAACACGCCCACGTCATGGTTTGGCCGCGACACTACGAGGACGACGCCCACAACAGACGAACCAGAGCCCTTCGCAGATCAACCCCACGACGACGACGAGATGCCAGCTTCCACATCGACGAGGACCACGAGGTCAGGAAGACGGGTGCGCTTCCCTGAGCGCCTGCAAAGCGGTTTTTCATAAAAAAACACTAGCAGGGGGGTACTGTAGGAACAACCGTTCCCACAAAATCAGGTGTTCTACCTGAGGGCATTCATAGTAATTGTATAAATGTAAATACTTCCTATCTTTCGTCTACCTGCCCTAAGATCCTACATACTTTCTCTTTTCCCTTCTAGAATTTTCTAAACTCCTTTTTTACCTACTTCCACCTCTTCCAAACCGAGCTTACCTGTGTACCATTTTAAACACCCTTCCTCCTTCTCCCTCGCACTCTCGAACAGTAAAGAACAAAATAAAAACTAAAAACCGTACCGTCGCTTTTAAATCACCAACAATACCCACAGACATATTGTTTTCCGAGTGTGGATTGTATGATGAGGAAAGAAGGAGTTGTGAATGATCAGGATGGATTGGGGAAGAGGAAAGACGATTTGAGAGGTTGTTAGAATCAAAGGAGATGTATGAGAGATTATGGGATTTGCGGAAAGAGTGTTTAAAAAAAGGAAAAGGGTGAGAGAGGATGTGATGGAGTAAGAGAATGAAGGAAGAGTGAAGTCGGTGCCGGTGAGGTATGAAAATACAAGTACCGGCACTGTAAAATAAATAGAATGTATGTTCTCATATCATTTACAACCATTCCGCTCTTCAGGTTGTCAAATGTTTGTTGGAAATCAATATATGTGTAATATATGCAGTGCGCTGCCTTACTCATAGAACTTCCCTATTATTCGGTTTATCGTGTGTATCGTCTACAGTTGAGCTTCCCTTTCTGAAGCCATGTTGGTATTCTCCTATGTTTTTTTCTACGACTTTTGTCAATCTTCAATTTAACGATCTTATATACCACGTTTAGTAGTGTAATACCTTTATAGTTCGCGCATACACTTAGATCTCCTTTTTTCAGTATCGCAAATATTATCCTTTTTCCCCAATCCTTAGTCATTTCGTCTTTGTCCCAAATCCTTTTTATAAGTGACATATTTTTTGCCTTAGTTTGTTTCCTTCGTATTTTGTGACTTGATTTACTACATTGTCTGGTCCTCGGATTTTATAATGTTTAAATGCTTTTATTAATTCATTCATTTATATATTTTTACCGTTGCATTTATTCTTTTGTTGCTTCTTTATAGTTTTATAAGCTTAACATTGTTTTTATTATCTTTTTCCAGCTCTTTCATTATTTCTTCATCTTCTTGTACTTCATTAATTTTTTTCTATTGTTCGTGGTTTCCTGGTATGCTCTGTAATCTTCTTCTATTCCTGCTTTTTTAAACATCTAAAACTCGCAGTCTTGTTTATCTTACTATATATTTGTATTCACTTTGTATTGCTTGTTCTTTCCTTGTTGTGTTTTGTATAGCTCTCCTTATGTTACTCCATTCTTCATCTATGCTTTGTGTCATATTCACGTTTGTTTCTATTTAGCTGTGCTACATACCATCTTTTCCTTGTGTTTCCTCCCCTCTTTTCTTGAACTAGAGTGAATTTCATTTTAGCTATTACCAGGCGGTGATCTGATCCCACTTCTGTTCCACGAAATGCCCTTACGTCTTATATCATTATTTGCCTCTTTTTTATCAGTACAGTATTCCTTCTTGGTATCAACCAAGTAATTTTGTGCTCAGTTTTGTGAGGTAACTTTGTACTAACTGCGATTAATTTCCAATGTTCTTTGCTTATCTTTGCGTTAAAGTCTTCTGCGACCATTATTCTTTTCGAATGTTGGACGTAAAGGCTTTAAAAACACCTTTTTTCGCGGCGATTTTACAATTCCAAAAAAATATTAAAACTTGGATGGAAGCTGACAAACGCATCAAAAGGTCACCTACCTTGTTTCGCTCAGCCTCCTGGGTTAAGGGTTTGTAGACCGCATGCACAAAGGAACCACGTGTCTAAGTTTCGCGACAACACTTCGCGATTGACGTCGCACAAGATGGCAACTGCGTTCACTTAACGCCCACCTTAGCGATGTTACCTCTCTGAGGGTTTCTCGATAACAACTGCTCGATCACAGCGCCAACCCCAAGTACTGGGCCTTTTTGCTCGGTACTATGGCGCCTCTAATGGAAAGTGGCCAAAATACATTTGTCAGCATTCCGCGGGAAAACAAACAAAATCAAAACAAAATATTAAACAAACTTCAAACCGGAACATCGAACATCGAGTTCCTCGTAGAATTCACCCTTTTCTAGCTCCTGTACCTCTTCTGTGGGCGCATAAATGTTTACAAAAGTATTTTGCTTTTCAATTTTTTCTTCCCCCTTGCATCTTACTTCCTATAATGCCAACAACTCGACACTATAGTTTCTCATTTCTCTTGCCATTTCTTCCATTCTCTCTTTGGCCAGCATAATTTGCGCATTCCATGTCCCTATTCTAATTGTTTTTCTCTTCGCTTTTATTCATTCTATTACGTAACGTTACTCATTTTCCAATTCCAGACCAAGTCGTCTAATTTTTCATCTCTTCTTTTTTCCCTATTAGTTTTTTCTCTGGGTTCTTGTCAATCTCCTTACATGCTCGCATAATGGTTCTCTGGGGATCTTTCACTCATTGTGCGTTTACCATCGCTTTTTTCTACATTTTGCTCCTTTGCTTTGAGTTCTACAGCGTTCAGTACAGTCAGTTTATTGTGGTGTAAGTAGGCTCGCTGTCCATTCATTCTTGCCATTTTCAGGTGTGGTAAGAGATCTGTGGCGTAATTTATTCAGCGATAATCACCTAACGCAGTTAGTAGAGCAAGAAACGCGATATAGAACACAACAGCAACCTTTCAGATCTTTTTGCATCAGATCAAAAATTTACTAATGAATATAGAATATTTAGACTCTTTTGGCAAATCGGATCATTTGCTCTTGAGAGCTAAATTACAGATGTACTCTATATTTGTATTTACCGTGCAATTGGAAAATTATTGTATGTTGGGTAATAAATATATTATTATTATTATTATATGGAATAGCAAGGTTATGACATACCAAAAAAGTATCGACTTGGATACATTACATAATAAACCAAGTAAACTAAACACGTTTAAAAGGATCACGCTGAAAAAATTCTGTAAAAAGCCATAGGTAATCGAATTCAAATGGACAAGTAGTCAAGTGGATTATAGTGTACACTGGGTATTCTCTAATTGGTTGTCGAATGTTATCAAAAATAAATATGAGAAAACCATTGTTGCAAAAAAAAACCTAAGTGCATTTACAAGTATTCCAGATGCACTATGTCACTCTATTAAGCCCTGTCAGAACGACAGAGTTGCGTCATTCTAATGGTGCTTTTATCGACACTCATAAACACAATTCGAATATGTTCACTAAAACATTTTCTGACGCATTCGTTAATGGACTTCGTGTCACAGTATTGAATACCGTTTACAAACCCATAAACTCCGATCATGTTACAAAATTTGTAACTATATTTAGTATAGTCTTTACCGAAACTACTGTTTATGAGATATTGAAAGATTAAAAGTAGCTACCTCTCCTGGTCCAGATAACATATCTGCGAGTGTTTTAACTGATTGCTCGACCTCACTTTGTAAACCCTTAACTTTCTTAATGAATTTGACTTCTTCCACTAGATTGGAGGACTGCTACAGTTAAAGCGATCTACAAGTCAAAGTTAAAATCGGAAACTCTTTTAGTCGCCCTACTGCTGTTTTAAGTGAGTATCTCAGGGTTGAATTTTAAGTCCTCTTTTTTTCTTACTTATGTTGCTAATTGTTTTGTTTAATTGCTTTTTAAACTATTTATTTTGATAATGTTGCCATATTTCAACTAGAATCGTTCCGCCCTCAAATAAACATTATGAATAGGTCTAACAATGAAACTATCAGGATCAATCTGCAAGGGCTTGCACGTTGGACTAACAGTCAGTCTAAAATTCACGATAACAGAGGCAATCCCAATTTTAGATTGCATAAGACCAAACCGAAGTCCTAAAAATATTTTCCTTAAACAATCTGTGCGCAATTATCAGTTTACGTACCAATACAATTCCTTGGTCCTTCTCCAAAAGGCAAAAAAACGCACGGATGCCTACTTTTCTTCATCTCTTCGCTAAACCGACTCGGATTAAATTTCTCCGGGTCCGGGAAATACTCCGGATCCATGTGAAGGCCTATAGCGGGAACGATAACCTGAGTCCCTTTTTCTATCACTATGTTTGTATCTCGAAGACTGTAGTCTTTAACGCAACGACGAGTGAGAGTAGAACCGGGTGGGTACAATCTCAGAGTTTCTATAAGAAGATTATGAGAAAAAAAAACGGTGACTTAAAGTCCACTCACCATCAAAGACTTGGCCCAACAATTTCATCTCCGAAAGACTTTCGTAATTCAATCTTCCCTCATGTCTTTCCAAAACTGCTAAAATTTCTTCTCTCAGTTTATCTTGACAATCCTGATTCTTTGCCAGTTGATATAGAGCAAGACTCATCATAGAAGAACTCGTTTCAAACCCCGCTAAGAAAAAAAGGAACACTTGTGCCGCGATTTCGTTGACAGTCAGCTTCTCAGTTTCTTTCAAATCTATCAAAATTTGCAAAAAATCGTTTCGTCTGTTCTCTGGATTTTGTCTCAGCTCAATTGCGTCGGTAACCATCTTGATAAAAAAGTCACGGATTTCTTTATAGTTAGGGGTTAAACGTAACCATTTCGACAACTTTGGAAGGTTGACAATAAAGAAAGCTTTCACCGTTTTCCACATATCGAAGTGGAAGATTTTGATACCCATTTTTGGAAATTCTGCATCTGGATCTATGAAGCTGTTACACTGTACACCGAAGGCACAGGACCCAATGCAATCTATGGTGTATCTTCTCATGACTTCTCGGATGTCTATATCGTCGTTTATTTGTTTTCCAAGGGCTTCTACCATGTAGTCGCGGCAAGTGATAACCGACTGGAACATGGTCTTCATTTTGCTGGAAGTGAAGGTGGGCGTAAATTTGGTACGAAGTAGACGCCAACGGACGCCGTCCAAAGCAAAAAGATTGGCACTGAGGGGGTCATCTGTTTCGTTGTAGTAAAATCCGCGGTCTACAAAGTATTGGAAATCTTTGGAGAGGATGTCTTTGACGTAATCGGGATCCACGATTACCAGATTTGGTTCACTTATCAGGTAAATACCTCCGAATTTGTGTCCTCGTTGTTTTAGGTAGTCGTAGTAGATTTTGGTGATAGGACCAAGAGTAAAACCCTTTGGAAAGAGTACTTTGCTGTTACCCAAAGGAAAACGTGGTGGTATTGTTGGGACTCCTCTTCTTGACCAATATTTGAATCGATTGTGAAAATAACACAAAACTGCCACTACTAGCGGTACTACGAAAAGGAGTACTTCCAGGACTGCACCATAAGGTAGAAGACCCATTTTCCAAGTTAATGGAAGCAAACTGGTAGAAATATTGAGTTGATTGCGGCTACTAGGTCGAGTTTGGCGTGTTGATAACGAGTGAAAAATGTAGTAACATTTGTTTTATTGTTACTTTTCCAAGAAAGATACCATTTTGCATACTATACAGCACACAAAGGTTACGTTTTTACTATATTTATCTCCAAGAGTGAAGATCAATTCAGTGGCCGTGACTTCAGTGTGAATTCTAAATTTAGCACACATAACCTACAATCTTTAAAAATAGGCACTTAAAAGTTTCACGTAATGCAGAACTTCAAAAAAATTAATAACATTATTATTATTATTAAAATATTCAACAAACATGTTTTCGTTTTTTTTTTATTCTAAATATTTACGTCAAACTAAAGTTCAACAACATTTTTTAATTTTGTTCGGTTTTGATAACGATCGTTGAGATAAAAATTTATTGACTGCCAGATGTTGGTGCTGTTGAAACCTGGACTGAAAAATGTGATTTATTCGTTTCAAATAAAATATTTTAACCTTAATCTCTCGGATTACTAAATCCTTATCAGCGTTGCAAGTGCAACTATAAATTCCTTGGCCATAATCTAATTTATTGCAGTGTTGTTGTATTAAATACACACTTTCTTGTCAAGTCATTATTTGTATTAATTTTAAGTAAAAAAATCGATAGAAATAAATGCGTATTTATTGACCTTATTACATAATTAGGTTGTTTTCAGTGTAACAATTTTTGTGTCTGTTCCCTTGCAAAACAGGCACTAAAAATAAGTTTTGTTAATTTTTCAATTTAACGTGGAATCAAATTATGCCGAGAAATTTTTTGTGAGTGAATAGCTGCAAAATACCGGATTCTTTTGGATCAAGGGATTTAGTTAAAATTAAAGCCAAAAGATAAAATTTTTCTCTATAAATACCTACGTTACAAACAATCAGTCAATTAGGAAAAGAAGCACATGATATAAAAATTAATGTAACACTAATAACACGAAAAAAAAATAATTGCAATTTAAAATAAGATACAAAATTAACCCAGCGGAAGTACAAAGAAGAAATAAATAGTAATTAAATAATTCGCGTAATCAAATTCTTTTAGAACAGGGGGTCAATTCTCGAACTCGTTCGCAAAGATGCGAGTACGAATAGATGCGCATGCCAAGATGCTATTCGAAACGAAAATCCGTCTTCTTGAACGAGATTCAATGCGAATAGCAACTCGATGCGCATACGAAGGCCTCTGTTCGAGTGAGGATATGGCAACAGCGGAAAAATACAGAGGATATTTAAATGCGATGGTTGGCAGAACTCACGCGGGGTGAGTTTGAATCCAAGAAGGACTATTTTAATCTGTTACCTCCAAATTTATTAAGCAGCAAAACACGTATTAGCAGGATTGGCTCGATTTAAATTATTGCTTTGAAGTATTATTGTTTTTTTTTTAAGTTTTCTTTACAGTTTGGAATATCTAATGCATATGCATATTACGGCCCTTTTAATGCAAATTTATATCAAAATAAGTTGAACTTTAACTAGAATATAATATTTCCAACAAAATGGAACGACAATAATTCTTTTAAATTGTATTTTAAAGATTATAGGAGTGAATATTATATTAATAACACTATCAATTCCATTTTTGCAATGTAAATTACAATAAATTCTCTTTATTGTTCAAAACTAAGAAGTACGACTCAAGGATGACATTAAGTCGGATACTTACTATTTTAATTAGGATTTTAATTCCAAATAATTGACATACTAAAAAAACAAAAAAATCGTGATAAAAAAAATTGTTGAGTTTACGATTTTATGCAACCCTACGTATTTAATACAAATTCTTGTGATTTTTTTACAATGATGCAGATACAAACTTAATGTTTATTTTTGAGTGGGACCACCACAGCCAGCAGGTATTTGCATATTAATACCTTTATTACTGCGTGTACTCTCCTAGTTTATAGAAAATTCTTAGAGTTTGGTTACCCGATGTTTATTCAGGTATATTTATGCATACCATTACAACCGTTTTGTACAGTAAATGATCTTTCAGAATTCATTTTAGTTTTTATTTTTGAAACAACTTCACGTATACGTATTTGAAATGTTCGCAGTAGCTAGCCAAAATATCGCAATAGTGCGTTGTTTCTTCATACATATGTAGCATGTAGCTATTATGTGTAAGTACTACACAGAAATCCGCTGTTTCAATTTAAAATTTTTAAATTTGCATCACAAATGTCAAAACTGTAAATGAAATTATAAAATTCCCATAATCAAATTGATACATTACAATTTGTGTATTTTTGGAATGGTAACCCTTTCTATTAATGTATATTAACAAATACAGCAGATTAAAGATATTATATTGACGTTAACATAGAACGACCAAAACCAAACAGAGTTTTAGGTTAGCTTTCACCACTCGCAAACCAAAATGCGATCGCATCTACCCACTCGTAACTTGACGTTCGTATACGCTAGAACATTTGCGTATACCAACGTGTGCGCGCGGTTCGAGAATACCGAATCTTCAAAACCGCTCGAAAATTGGCCACTTGCGTATGCGGAACTTATTCGAACGAGTTCGAGAATCGACCCCCAGAACGGAAAAAAGGAAAACACATGTAGAATCAATATAAAAGCTTGTAATTCCTTTGGAGAAACTCTTTTACTTTTATTTGAGTATTAGAGAAAATAAAGAAAACGTGTATAAAAGAGTATTTTAAATTTGTAAATGTAGATGTAAATTTATGTATATGTATATACTAAAACTATTATTGTCAAAAGTAGGATCACATTATATAATTATGTAATACTAATAATGCAACATTTAATTTGCTGTTGGGTAAGATAATTTTACTGACACTACTTATCTAATTTGTCACTATAGATCATGAATTCATGATCATGACACACCTTTGAGTCATGTTTAAAGATTTTAAAACCATTTTGTTCCAAGATAAATGAAAAGCAGCAGTTATCAGGCAACCATCAATTCACACTATTGTTATGGTGAGAGTAAAATGATATATCACAGTCCAGTCAACAAAAATATTTAATTTCTTATTTGATTACTTAGTTATTTACTCTATGCACTGTTAATTCAAACTGCCACTATTTAATCTACTTTCTGTCAATATCATTAACGAGGTTTTTATAGATCACTTTCCCGTCTCCTTAAAAATACAAGTGAAATTCCATGTTCACATAATTAACAGGAGAGTTGCTTTTAAGGCTTAGTTCCTCTGAGCATCTTTTTCATTACTAATTAGCTAATTATATATCGCTACAATTGCATCAAAAACTGGAATAAAGCAATAAATATATCAAACTGGAGAAAAAATTTTGTACTAAACGAGCTAGTATTTTTGCTTAGTTTGGTTCAAATATTTATAACATACAGAAAAATGTGAGAACAACCGGTCCAGTAGTTTTGGAGATTGTCTGTCTATTCAAAATCAACACAGACGAGCAGACGAGAGACGAGAGACGGTGGCAGAGAAACACATCGACATATAGACAGACCAACGAAAGTGGGCGACCTATGTTTTCGTATTCTAGAGATCCTAGAGGGGTGAAGAAAACATAAAAGTAACTAGTCGCCCTATGGACGCTATCACAATACTTCCTTTGCTTACGCTTGGTAAGTAAAACAGTAACAAAATAAATTAATTATACCAGAAGAAATGCAGATTTTTTTTTACAGTGATGATGATTTAACATTATAGTTGCAATATACATCCTATAACCACATTGACTTTTCCGTTTTCCTGCGTAAGTGACGTCAAAATACCTATCCAATCAGAGCTGAGGTTTCTAGAAATGTTAGACGTTGCTTAAGCACACGAGTATGGGCTGCTAATACTGACCGAGGTAAAAGAAAGTCGCTGCTAAAACTTTTCCTTTGATATAACCACAAGTTTCCGAGCAATGTTTAAAAATGTAAGTGGATTCTATTTGAGGTTCCAGTTTTATAAACTGTCGCAGTCAATTTCATGCTTTCACATCCACGTTTGCTCGTTTTTACTGCCTGAACGCAAGTTAAGGAAGTATTGTAATAAAGTTCATCTGAGGAATGGCTACCTACTTTAATGTTTTCTCGATGTAGGTATCTTGATTCCTAGAGTTTTTTTTTTGTCAAATTTTGTATGTATGTTAGAATATTTGATATATGGTAAAAGCTAAACAAAATTTGTCTAATCATCCCCACCCACAATGTAATGACGTTACCTTTAAATTTTGGGTTGTAAACACTCTTCCAGTTTTAGAAGATAACTACAGTTGTGGTTTATGCAACAGCCTTATTTTTGTATATTATATATTCATATAACTTCTATTGTTTAAAATCCTCTTCTTTAGGCACATAATACCCAGCTATGCACGTCTGACTCATAGTTCTGTGGACTTTGGGGAGTTTCCATTTTTTTTTGTTCATCATTTTTGCTTCTCGAGCGTAAGCTAAAGTGATCGACTGACTACTTTTATGTTTCCTCGATATTTCATGACTCCTAAAGTACGAAAAAATAGATCCTTCGTTTTCGTATGTCTGCCGATCCTCTGTTCGCGTCTGTGTTGATTTTCATTAAATAAATAGCTAATCTCCGAAAACAGGGAAATGGTTGTCAAATTTTGATGGTAAAACCCTAAAAAAAATTGTCTGATCATTCTCACGTCATCTCCAACTTTTACAATAGTAAATGTTATTTACATTTTATAAAATAACATACTCCTCCATGTGTGACTTATGAATCCATCTTGAATTGTTTCCTAGACATGCACACTTTTGGAAAGAAATCAAAATTGTGCATTAATGGAAAATGTTATGACGTCATCAAAAAATTTTTATATGGAAAAACTCACTAGAAATGTAGGCATACAATCCTTTTTGTGTTCTTTAACAATATATTAATTTTAGCTCATAGGGGTCATCGTCAAAAAAGGAAAATTCTCAGTTACATTTTATAATTTTCGAGACTGTATTTGTTCCGCTGCACTTTAGAGGTGAAGGAAGTTTTGTCGAAATAGCCTTCGAGTAGTTTTTTTATAGTGTTGCACGGCACGTGTCGGAACTGGCATACGTGCCCTTGCTGAAAGGAAATCTCTAGAAAAAGAAGCATAACCTTGCGCTTTATTAGTGTTTGCATATTTTTGAAGCAATTTTTTAATCAAGTCTTCGTTTCGTATCACCAGTGGAAAAATGCTAACTAACATTCCGCGCGGACTAAATATGAACAAGTCGACATAATGTGTTTTGGTAACATAGTGCGTTCGAATCAAAGGCAGTTGCGAAGTATGGGTGATTAAAATATGATAGATTAATGAATTCAAAAAAAGACAAGTATTTTTTTACACTGCGAAAGTACGAATTATGAGCAGAAAAGATGATGATTGTGATTTGCGACTCTAAAATGTATAACAAACATAACATTATATTGTCATCATGGTATTTATTTGTATAGAAAATAAACTAATAAGTAAAACCATTCGAAGAAAAGATTCCGGCAACAAAAAACTGTGTTATTCATACAGTTAATTATCAATTTGTTCTTCACAGTCTTATCACTGAAAAAGTGTGAAACCATTTATCAAGCCAACACGCCCCATTAATAATAATGACCGATGCACCAATTAAAGAGTATGACATCTGCTATGTTTCTAAAGGAACAAAAAAAAATTACAAGCATTACTAACTGACTGCATTCCGATAACAAACTAATGTGATGCAACAAACGTTATCACACTGTTTAAATAGCATTTTCTCATTAATGTTATTTAGTTTACATGAATACTCACAAGGTTGCAAATTATCAATAATTATGGGTTTCCTAATCCAAGACACATTAACAGAAGTAGTTCTAATTATCACCACCGTCATCCTCCTCATAACAAACTACTTCCACCAATCCTACAAATACTGGGCGAAAAAAGGAGTGCCAACCATCCGACCACATTTTCCACTAGGTAACACAAACATACTTTTGCCCAAAGGGTTATCAGTAGGAACCCTCAGCCAAAAATTCTACACCGAATTCAAAAAACGGGGAGAAAAATTTGGGGGTGTTTATTTAGTGACAGAGCCGAATTTGGTGGTAGTTGATCCGGAGTACGTTAAGGACATTCTGTGCAAAGATTTTCAATATTTCGTGGATAGAGGGTTCTACTATAACGAAAAGGACGACCCGATTAGTGCCCATTTATTTGCTCTTGATGGTGTACAATGGAGGAACCTTCGGGTTAAACTCACACCTACTTTCACGTCTGGTAAAATGAAGATGATGTTTCAGACAGTGGTGGACTGTTGTAACTTCATGAAAGAGGCCATTGAGCAAAATCTGACCCAAGATATAGAGATCAAAGAAGTTCTAGGCCGATTTACCACTGATGTTATTGGTTCTTGCGCATTTGGTATTGAATGTAATAGCTTCAAACACCCGGATGCTGAATTTCGGAAGATGGGGAAAGAGATCTTCCAGTATAGCATCTGGGGGTCGCTGAAGGCATTCGTGTCGATGAATCTACCAAAATTGTCTCTACAATTAGGTATCACTTCAGTGACCAAAGAAGTGCAAAATTTCTTTACAGGAATAGTCACAGATACAGTGAACATGCGTCACGACAATAACATCAGACGCAACGACTTTTTGCAAATTTTGATGGACTTGAAGGACTCTTCTGGTTTAACACTAGATGAAATAGCGGCTCAAGTGTTTCTGTTTTTCGCTGCCGGCTTTGAAACCAGTTCTACTACAATGACTTTTGCTTTGTATGAACTTGCTAGGAATCCGGAAATCCAGAAGAAGCTGAGGGAGGAGATTTGCCAGATTTTGGAAAGGCACGATGGTAAAATCACGTATGATAGTCTAACTGAGATGAAATACTTAGGGCAGGTTATGGATGGTGAGTAAATCTACGTCTTGTTAAAGGGAAAAAATACGATATTTGGTTTTCCGTTGTAGAAACTTTAAGAAAGTATCCACCTCTAACTACCCTCAATCGGCGCTGTACTAAGGACTACACTCTTAGAGACACAGATGTGGTTATAGAAGAAGGTACTCCGGTGCTTATCTCCACTTTGGGTTTACACACGGATCCGGATTTTTATCCAGAACCTGAGAAGTTTGATCCGGAGAGGTTTAGCGAAGAGAATAAGAAGGACAGGCATCAGTTTGTCCATCTGCCTTTTGGTGATGGGCCCAGGAACTGCATAGGTTGGTGATATATTTATAAAAATAATGTTTTCAAGATTCTAATACGAATTTCTAGGTCTACGTTTTGGACTGATGCAGTCAAAAATTGGAGTAATCACCACAATCAAAAATTTTAAGGTTTTGGACAGTTCCTGGACCAAGCCGGTTGAATTTGATCCATATACGTTTATGCTGAATACTTCTGATAAAATATATCTGCGGTTTGAGAAAGTGTAAAATTTCGCTTTTTAGATTGTTGTTCATACTTTAGATTTAGATTAACTTTTGTTTAAGTGTTCTATTTTATTTACAATATATGCACATATGTATCTAGGTTCTTACAGTTAGACACTGCCATCAATACAAATAACAATTCAAAATATAAAGTAAGTTAATAAAGTTTCCCAACTTTCTGTAGCTTCATCACTTACTAAGACCTTGTTCTTTTTTCAGCGCTTAACGCAGAAACAAAATTTTTAAAAAGTAATTCTTCTTCTTGAACTTAGGGACAAGAATCAATAAGCGTATTTTGACAGAAAAATTAATATTACTATTAGATATGGCGTCAATATGAAGAACAGAGGACATATTCTTCTTTAGTTCTTCCTCATATTCATTTATTTTCATTGCAAAGAAGTCGAAGTTGGAACGGATTTTTGGCATAGATATTTTTTTCCTATTACCGTGAACAACTTCCAACTACCGTGTCGGTTTAAATTAAGAATTACTGTCTATGTTGCGCTATGAACTGATCAAAGTTCCTGAACTAATGCGTAGTGTTTATACCTAGTGCATGATTTCCTTCTTGCTGAAACCTTGCCATTTGAAAGAAATTTTCACGAATGTTTGTACACAACTGCTTAACATATGTATCATTCTAATATCTCAAGAAAAACAAGCATTCGCTACCATTCGTGCATCTGTAAAATTAGCCATTTAAATTATAAAAACCATACCCAAACTAAAACAGTCCTAAGACGAAAAAAAAACATACTAGATACATAAATCTAACCACACACGGTGACGTATTCTAAAAACGACCCATAAAGTACGGCTCGTTTGTTTACCGGTTTTTGAATCGCCGCGCGGAGCGAAAAACCGTACCACCGTCAATATTTTTTTTTATCGTCACCGGAACAAGTCGAAACCGTGATGCACGCGCCGTTACCGCCCGCACTATTTCGAAATCCCGGAGGAGCCCGCCCTGAAGGAATGACGTCTTATTCTTTTTTTTGCCAATTCGTTTGTAATTATATATTTAATTTAAGATTAGCCGTAGGTTTTATTATCTTAGCCGTGCAGCTGGTGGTAGGGAATAAACCCGATTTATTGTGTAAAATATTTCTCGCCGTTTTATTTTGTTGTCGTGTTTTCGCGGGCGCTCACCACCTGAGATCTGTGTCTCCGGCTTGAGAGCAACTCCAGTGCTCCCTCCCCCGGAGAGGGAGCCGACGCCCGAGCGACCGCCGCTCCTGACCGAAGGCGCCACCCCGCATAAGCCTAGGTCGGCCAGACTTGTTTCCTATAACAACGGGACTAGTCGGCCCAAGGCTTGGCATCCAGGTACGCCGCCACCACACGTTATCAGCGAGATTCCGGACCGTCCGTCACACCGGAATTTCATCGGATCATTATTGTCTTTATCTCATTTTTATCTTTGCGAAAAAATTATGTTTTTCATAATGGCTACAAATCAGATTGCTACAGCCATGTCAAGTATTTCACAAGGATATATCTTAGGACCCTTATTATTTTCATTATACGTTAATGATTTAGTAAGCGTATTTAAACATTCTCAGGTTCTTATGTTTGCAGTTGACAAAAATATTTCGCAGAACCGATGGTCTCATTTTTTGCAGCACGGTCTGGCTCCTGAGGTGAAAGCAGAGCTGTTAACGAAGTTTCAGCTCCCGCAAACGTCTGGATTAAAAGGCCCCCAGTTAAATCCTGGGGTTGCGGCCATTGCCCCATCCTTCACGTTTTCATAAACATTATACTCTTATTAGTTTTTTCTGTAGACGTATATATGTATATACATACATACTTTTCAATTGCGCAACTATATTTCTTTAAACCTCTACCTATTTAGATAAAGAAATGTTCAGGTGAGAAGACGTGTGCATTTTTTATTTAACCTAAGATTGTCACTGTTACCCCAACTACTCGCTCTATCAAGATCTTCCAGCAACAGTCGACAATCTTCTTTACTATTAATAACTCTGTAAATCTTTAAATCATCTGTTATAAAAGACAATAAGTGTTGGAGACAATAGCGATAACACCATCTACGGAAAAAGAGAAGTGGATGCAAATTCCAGCCCTGAGACACTTGAAAGATATTTTTACATCAGCAACCAACTGACCATGCATAAACCAGACTATTATTTGGAAAAATAAGTTAACTTAGCTATAAAAAAATAAAATCTAATATGTGTGCTGGTTTGGACTGTGTTCCTGCCTTTGTCATTACAGACTGTTCCACCGCTAACTCTTATTTTCAACAATTATTGTATTTAAACTAGTACATTTCAATCAAGAATTTGTCCAGCTGGAGTAGGAATAGATGATGGAAGGAAAACACTGAGAAGAAATAAAGTTTGAACACTTCAGCTAAATATTTGTTTGGGAGTTGTCAGATTGGTTTCATCAAATTGCATTCTACAGAAATGTATGTTCGGCCTTTTATGTCTTGAAAAAATTTCCAAAATTCTTTAGGACTGCATGTTAGCGAAGACTATCTGATTCGATCTCATGTATAATCTGCGTTAACTAATTCTTGTAGGTTCATACAAATTATAGAAAATTTATCGTCATGAAACTGAGATTTACTTTTTTTAAATTTACCTTGAAATATGTTTTTTACTTTAATTTGTCTCTTCAACTATGTATCATTCGGGAAAGCAAATTTGCATTTAAAAGATAGTCCACATATTTAAATTGTTGCGTTTTATGTAAGGAAGTCCAATTAGTAAAGCATATATACATTGATAACGACAAATTTAATCTGCTTTTTTTTTTAAATTATACATATTGGTGTTTGACAAAAACGGAAAGTTTGGAGGAGGTCCATTATCAACTAACAGAGAAACCTATAGACGTACATAGTATTGATCCGGATTTAATAGTACATCATTATCTTTTGCAACTGTCCACTTATTTGAGATAGGGTTATGGAGAACTAAATCTAGATCTCTATTTTTTATGTAGTTGGTTGATATACTGTGTCTCAACAATCTACTTCTTAGATCATTCGAAAATTGGTCTAAAAGAGAGGAAATTTTTCTAAAATTTCCAGAAATAATTGCAACGTGTATGACTGAATATTTAGAGAATATAGAAATTTGCGGCAATTAAAAACCCATTAGAGCACAGAAATTTGCAACAAACAATATTGTTACGTTGAACGGGTGGTAAAATTGGCAACAATTTATTCCTTATTAACTCGAATATACACGATTAACTATTACAGCGATTATGTACAAACTATTTCTGGCTCAATTTGGGTGGCTCTTCTTAACACTCGCTGAACTCATAGTTCGACTGAATAATGCCGCTCCCGACGGTGGCATTTATTTAAACTCGTATTCCCCTCTCGATGTTTCCCAATCGAGGTCTTTCTGGAATCCATTGCGACTTCCGTTTCTAGGCCTTTCTTTAGCGAACGCCGCATCGAGACTTTTTCGTTTTTGTGCGAGCGCTGTCTGGGTAACGTCATCCACGATGCGTAAATACCAGAAAACTCGGAAACCCATAAGTGTCGTACCGGGGGCGGCGTATGGGTTTATTTCGTAACAATATCAACAATTGGAACAACAAAGCAAATGCTCATGTCCGAATGGTATGCAGAAAAAATTGTTTTGACGACTATGAGAACACTTCCACATTTAGAAACCTTCTGTTTCTATTATACTTGAATTCATCAAGCCATGTTTCAACATATAACACCATACTCACATATAAACATATTAGGAAAGAAAGAATGGACTTTAGATTTCATACCACCCACATTCTGATGATAAATCATTTACATTGGTTGAAGAATTCAAGTTTATATGAACGACATAATTTGAATGTTTAATGGTTAGATAATTTTTTCCGCGGTTCATTATTCATATCATCGTAATTTTCCTAGATATTGTTGATCTTTGGTTTTGTCGTCCTGTATAACACCATTATGAAATTGCATTTTTCAGAACATTTTTCTTTGTTAAAACAGACTTAACGACATCTGGGATATTAAGTTTTACATTTAAGAAACCAAGACAACCTGGGAATGATCTGCCTATCAGCAACTTTAATAAAAAGGTCAACCAAGAATAAAATATTGTGAGTCACAGTAGTGACATTTCTATTTTTTTTTTTTTTTTGGAACATTTATTAATATTAGCTATGTAATGCAATAACACCGCATGCACTCGTGTTCGAGATCTAAAAATATAGATAATGTTCTATGTATCTCAAATCAATAAACTAACAAGTACTTTTGGAAACAAAAACAACATCAACAACATCATCAGCTATATTACGAATTTCACACTCCAAGAAAGGATATTACCGACGCCATAATTATTTGATACTTTGACAAATATTGCCTCACTTTTCAAAGAATTATAGTTATACTAAAACAATTATCTGCTCCAAAAAAAGTCATTTTACTCGAAAGTTTTCAAACCTATTGAGATACTTAAGACAATGAAAACAAGGCTTAAATTCGTTACCAGATGTCTTGACTGCTGTTCCAACTCTACACTTCTAAAGTGATAATCACGATGCAATTTCCTGGGACCTCAAAAGACCACGGTGGCCCTGGCACTAGAAAAGACTCACAAAGGATAAAAACTGTTACTAAAATTGCCCGAGAAGTAAATTTTGGAAGAATCAAAATATAAATTTCCAAAAATGGGTTAAAATAAGTAAAGATATTAAACGTTTCAAGGTGTGAAGTTTCCACGTGGTGATTAGTTAGTTCAAGTTTTAGAAAAGCAATCTCATACAGGATGTTTTAGGCAGGATGGAAGTGTTTCGTAATTTTACAGTCACATTAAATTCAACTCGATTTCCCACAGACATAATAGCCGACTAATAGAGAATATTTATTTGGAAAAATTTGCAAATATTCAAATTAAACAAAATCGTTCGCTGTTTCAGAAAACATATTATAACTTTTCGACAATGTTTATTAAAATTCTCAAAATAACTTGCAACGAAACAAGGAAAGAGGAAATGTAATATCTTTCCAATAATTGCAATGATAGGAACATTGTTTATTACAAAGAAACATACACACAGCCATAAAATTTATGCACACTCAGTGTCTTTAACAAGGTCGTTACAAATTTTTCTACATTTTTCCCCGATAAGAATTGCACAAACACATAAATTTACTTACAATATTAACAAGGCTCTAACTTTAATAGTTCAGACAAACAACAAAAATGCATTTTTACGGTCAAGTCAATATCAGCCTGATAATGTATGTCACCAGTTATCAAATTATATAACCAACTTTAGCTACGACTTCATCTCAGTCTGCATCATTCCACTAGTAACCTCGACTCTTGTGACAATGGGTGTCGTTCTTGATGACCTCTGGACTGAAATTCTCCTCTTCGTGGCAACAGTCACACTGGTTATTACACTATACTTTCGCATATCTTATCAATATTGGGCCAAAAAAGGAGTCCACACTATTCAACCCCGGTTTCCTTTAGGTAACACCAACATGATTCTCCCGAAAGGGTTTTCCGTCGGAATTTTAACAAAAAAATTCTACGATGAGCTCAAACAAAAAGGTCTGAAATTCGGAGGCGTTTATTTCATTACGGAACCACATTTGGTGGTTGTTGATCCGGACTACATCAGAGATATAATGAGTACGGACTTCCAGTACTTCGTCAACCGCGGGTTTTACCACAACAAGAAAAACGATCCTTTGAGTGCCCACTTATTCGCAATCGAAGGTAGCGACTGGAGGAATCTCCGAATCAAACTAACCCCAACCTTCACATCTGGTAAAATGAAAATGATGTTCCACATGGTCATCCAGTGCGCCAACTACATGAAAGAAGCCATCGGTGGTACTTTAGGTCAAGATATAGACATCAAAGAAGTCATGAGTCGGTTTACCACGGACGTCATCGGCTCGTGCGCGTTTGGAATCGACTGCAACAGCTTCAAGTACCCGGACGCCGAGTTTCGAAGGATGGGCCAAAAGCTCTTCGAGTACAACCTCTGGGAATCCATTCAAGCTTTCTTCATGTTGAACCTTCCACAACTCTCCCTGAAACTCGGAATTCCGTCCAACAAGAAAGACATCCAGAAGTTCTTCATGACTACGATAAGAGATGCCGTTAAGCTTCGGGAAGAAAACAAAATCACGCGACGCGACTTCTTACAGCTTCTAATTGAATTGAAAAATAGTACTGATTTTACTTTGGATGAAGTTTCAGCACAAGCTTTTCTGTTCTTTGTTGCTGGTTTCGAAACTAGCTCGACCACCATGACTTTTGCGTTATACGAACTTGCCAAAAATCCGCAAGTTCAAGAGAAGCTAAGACAGGAAGTCTGTCGCGTTTCTGAGAAGTATGATGGTCAGATTACGTATGACGGTGTGATGGAAATGAAGTACCTAGCTCAGGTGGTAGATGGTGAGTACTTCTTCCTCTAATGGAAAGTACTAACACATATTTGTAGAAACTTTACGCATGTATCCACCGCTAGCCACTCTGAATCGTCGTTGTTCTAAAGATTATACTCTTCGTGATACAAATATTAAAATCAACAAAGGTACGAGAGTGTTAATTTCGACATTGGGGCTCCACATGGACCCAGATTTTTTCCCGGACCCAGAGAAATTTGATCCTGATAGGTTCAGTGATGAGAACAGGGCAGGGAGGCACCCGTTTGTTCATTTACCTTTTGGTGACGGGCCCAGGAATTGCATAGGTAAATTTTGAGTTTTATTTTAAATAATATTTTTTAATTTTTTTTTCAGGTTTACGTTTTGGACAAATGCAGTCAAAGATCGGGGTGGCAACAGTGGTTAAAAATTTCAGGTTGAGTGTTAGTCCGTCGACAAAGGCCATAATATTTGATCCATATGTGTTCCTTCTTTGTAGTATAAATAAGATTTACTTAAAAGCTGAAAGGGTGTAGCGTATGACAATTGACAATTGCATTTTTGTAGAAACAGTAAAAGTTTTCGTTTTGTTTGTTTATCTGCATGCATTTATCAATGGGAGTTTCAAAAATAAAATAGTTTATCTGCTATTCAGGTAATTTTTATTATTACAATCTAAGTAATGAATCCCAAGGTTAGAAAAGTGCCCCTAAATCAAACACAAATATAGAGGACAAATTTATTTATTCCTCCATTCTGGAGAAGCAAAAACAGCTCTGGAATAATCTCAACTACCAAAGTAGAAGAAAAAAAAACCCTTTCAAACCTCCAACAGTGGATTTAAATATTTCAAACACCACTTTTCTATGCCCAAGAAACCTGCCCCATATTATACTCTGTACCCCGTCTTCGCAAAACAGCGGAGCTCTCCATCAAGTTTATAATTAAAAATCCATTTAAGCAAATGACAAAAAGCACAAACTTTAACTTAAACCGCTTTCGCCAAGTGATCTTGTGCTTTTCGGTTCAAATTCAAATTCTCTCTTTCTCGAATTTATAACGATAACTTAATGAATATTAGAGTTACAAGAAATTGAGCTAACAACATGAGGTTAAACTAAGCCACAATTTATCAACAATTTAAAAAATCAAAAAAAAATCATATTATATTCAGCCTGTCGAAGGCTAATTCGCAAACAAGAAGCACAAATTAAATCCCACCTCCCCCAATTCACAATATCATTAATTCTAGCAGATGAAAATTTTCAACGTCCTCTCTCGCAAGTTTTGAAATTTAGTTTTAATTAGAAATATTATTGATTTAATGTTTTTTTTTACAGCCTGAATTTGAACATTTGTTCTGGAATTATTATTTTGTTTCTACTACATTTCATATAAGTGTTTATTATATAAGTTTATTTATTTGTTTGTTTGTGATATCTGGTTTACTTTCGGTCGATTAACGTGAATTAATACATAATCTAACATCATCTAAATTCTTTGTTGTTTGAAATTCTTGATAGAGTGTGACATAATTAAATTTTCGAAATTGGTTGTGGAAGGAATATCCCTAAGTAGAGGTTAAAAATTAATGTAAAAAGGTTGAGGTCGAACTCCACAGTTATAAATTTAGTACTTCATTAAAACAAGGACATGTTTCGAGAAACCTATGTTCTCATCTTCAGCTTATTAAATCAAATCAACTTAAATTTTAACAGAGTGAAAAAGAGAAAAACATGTTCTGTTATTGAATGTACAAATGGTAATTGCCAGAGAACTGAGGTTTCTTGAAACATGTTCTAGTTTTAATGAAGCACTAAATTCATGAATGTGGAATTCGACCTCAACCGCTTTACATAAATTAAATTTTTGTTGTTTCTTTCTTTGTTACTGTAATACTTATTTTGGTATAGTCAAAATTCAGGAGATCTTAACTTTAACCGAAATAGACGCATCGGATTTTCGCCGTCAGTGAATCAGATCATCGACTTGGCTATCTCTTTTACTGGATGGAAGTAAATCTCGCAATAACTTGAGAAATACTCTCCAGTTACTTTAATGACGATTTATTTTTTCTTAGATGTTTAACTTTGTGATATTCAAATATTTGTACCGATTTGTAACATTTCATTTCTTTTTGAAAGCTGAAGACGTTTTTTCCAGCTGACAGATAAATCCGTTTATTTCATACTTTGCCCTCTATATTTTACGTTTTGATTTAAGGTCACTTTTCGAATCTTTTAGTTCACCACTTTACATTTGAACACATTTCACCGAATAAAAAAAAACACAACGTAGGGCCCCACTTTGTAAACCACCACGGCTCAAGGCCAAATTTTGAATTTTTTTCGGGTTTGATCATTTAATACACATGTCTCATTTTAGTGGGTTAACACTACACTAAGAATGAAAATATGAGTAATATAATGAGAAAGACAGCCCCTGTTGGTTTGTGCATGCTTTCGAATCGAAAATCTTAGAAGGACAGAAGATAAAGCTTTACTTGGAGTCAAGTAGTGTTTGCGATTAACATTCTAGCCCCTCTAGACCTATGCGAAATGGTACTTCTTAACCTCACTTTTCCGTATAATAAATTTAAGGTTTTTCAAAAACTCTATCAAATCTTAATTACACATAACATAATCAATGAATAAAATACATGCGTTTTCGCTAACGTTTCCACCTATCAACAAAATCACGCCGACTTGAGGACTTCTTCGCTTGAACACCCATCAGGTACCTACTGTTGTTGCAAATATATTTCTGCAGCAAAATAAAAGTTAACTTTAAATTGTAATGACACACTGAAATTTTAAATTCAAATATAATTTTTCAAGTACGCGACTCTACCTGCTACTGGTATAGTGTCGTTTAACTTCACAGACCAGCATAGTTTCAATAGATACAAAAAATGGGTCTAAAGAGTTTAGACAGTACTTCCCTCTCTGTCGGAATCGTGACGACTGCATGCCTATTATCTCTTTTTTCGTATTACATTTTTGTAGCGGGGCATTTTAAAATAAATTGTGTATTCATTTTTTCATTATTTGGCATTGACACCTTTGTCATTTTTTTGTGATTGCTATGACTGCTTATTAAAAAAAAAAAAATCACTGTTGCCTATGCAAAAATTGTCAGGCGTGAACAGATGAAAGGAACACCCTGTATAGAGTACTTAAGACAAATAGCCGTAACACTTATCAATAGAGAGCGGAAAATATGCAGCAAAATTTTGAGAAATATGATCATATGATATGCACCAAATGTATGCAAATATGCAGTAACTTTCTTAAAATATGCAGAGATATGCAGTTGCATATGCGCCAAAAATTAAAAAAAAAGCTTAATAAGCGAACCAATTTATTTATAAGTTACGTAAACAGGTCTCCTGAGCTTACGTTTTATTACAAAAAAATACATAAATCACATTGCAAAGTGATTTATGTATTTATTATGACATCTCACTAACACCTAAACCACGTTTTTAAAGATAATATTCTTATAGTAAAAAATAAATATAAACAGAACAAATTGAAAAATAGTAGTAATCCACTATTTAATTACTATTTTGGTAACAATTTATTTTTAAAAATTTTTCTAAATATTCTAACAAAAAGTTTTTTCGGTGATTCTAAAGTAAGTATATGTATTTGTAAATAGAAAAACTGCGTACTACCTTCACAGAATACTTACCGGTTTAAAGCAGGCGCGACAAAACACAGTTCGTTCTTGAAGAATAAGTTCAGAAAAAGGTTTAATCCATAAATTAATTTGAGTTTTCTTTGCCATATTGATACACATGTATCCCTTTAAATCCTTTCAATACAAACTCACGATGAAAAATAATAGTATAACGTATGATTATAACGTTCCTTCGACCACCATAAAACATACCATTAATACACTTAACTAACGAACAAAAATATTGGGAACGAACGGTATTTCCAAAAGTAATTCGGGTGCGAATTTACCTGGAAGGGTGGCGTCTGGTTCGGTTTCGCCCAATACTAAATACATTGAAAACATCGTCGTGGTTTCCGGAATTGCATTTTTAAAATACTGAAATCTCCAACCAAGTCAGAATCTAAGTAAACCTGCATTCTGCTACCGCATCACAGCTCGTTTAATGCCGATTTATCGTTTCAATCGATTTTGACTTTTCGCGAGTTATTTACCTCAGTCGTAGATTTTTTAATATTATAAATGGTATCAAAAGAAAGCTGACACTTTTCCCCAGGGGACCTCCTATCTCAGAATGCAAAAAACTTCAGCACTTCGTCAAAAAATGCATCAATGTGGCGGTTAAAATGTGATGTAAAAGTTGTTCAACTTTATAATTTTTTTTTGTAAAAACTGCATATTAGATACGAATATAAATATGGAGGTCCCCTGGACTGAAGTTTGTTAATTCGAAATATAATTTTTTTAAAGTGATATATCTCATATTTTTAAAATGCAACTCCGGAAACCGCGACGATGTTTTCAATGTATTTAGTATATGGCTAAACCGAACCAGACGCCAGCCTTAACACATAGTGGTGTCTCCAAACTACCATAAAACCCAAACCTTTCCTAGTTATTTGAAGCTCAGGACAATATTTGCAATATGATTCATAAAATTTTGTCTTTCTAGATAAATACCAATAGAATGGCAATATTTTTTTTTGTCAATTTAGCATAAAAATTGATAAAAATGCAAAATATGCACCCGTTCCGTGAAATATGCATCGGAAGGCCAATATATGCAAATATGCAATTTTTTTATAGCAGTATTCCCTTTTAATTAGCATGATTCGTTCACATATTAAATATCAAGACTTATATGCAAGAAATAACGGATATGCAAATTTCATAAAATCCGCTCTCTACTTATCAATCTACAGACGTGACGGTAAAACACAAACTAAACTAAAACATGTTTTCTACCAATTGGAAAAACTGGACGACAATGCCGACGGTCCAGACTTTTTTATTGCTCTGACTTCCGTTTATTGAATAAAACACTACATTTTTTCAATTTTTGGATACTGTAATTCACATTTGCTTAATTATAACTTGTCTAGATCTAGAGGGGCATCTCCTAGCCTCTCCCTAGCTACGGCCTTATCAAGGGGTTATGAAATATCTAGAAAATTTAAAAGATTTGCCCAATGGATTCCATTACTGTACGACCTTAGGTTATGCTCGATAAGAAAAAAAGTGTTTATGTTTATACATCGGAAAAATGTCACGTAGAAATTAGTTTGATTTGAATGAGTTCGTCCCCTCAACACAGGGGATCAAAACAATTAACTAGTAAGCTACAATCAACAAAATGTTCTGAATATCATTATTATAATTCTTATTAAATAAAGATGTTTGTATTTTCACATTTTCGGGAAAATGGGGTCACTCGTTCTTAACTTGATCAATAAAAAATATGAATGCTATGATGAATTACAAATAAAAACTCATCATATTTTGAACATTTTGGGTGGAATTTATTCGGCAAAATTTTTTAGAAAACGTCATCAATTTTTTGGGGGAAATAAACAGATTTATTTTGATTAACAATTTACCATGCTTACAATGACCTTAAAACGTCTGCAAGATTTCAAAGTATATATTTAGTTTTGCAATTCTTGATTAAAGCAATAAAATAAATTCACGC